TCGTATGACGGAATCCTTTCTCGACTCAGCGGATGATGGGTTGTAGTTGCATCTAGAGGCCTGAGCGCTCGGTTTCGAACTTCCGCCAGGTACGCGATCCGTTTGATACGCTGCTTGCCGCCAGGCGCTGTGGTCGTAGGCAGGTCAGAAAATCGAAGATGGTCTCCGGCAACAACCGACGAGTTACCTTGGAGGTTTTTAGGGTTAATTCTCTTGCTCTGCTCGCAAAACGGAAGAAAAAAGAACACTAACATGGAAGTTTATCCTGGAGCTCTATAAGAGCCTCGCTTACCGCCCTGCCGCTGTCATTCTCGTATATACTGACAAAAACGTTGTCCTCCCCCAGCAAGGCGATGAGTTCCAGCAACGAATCACCCCAAGCTCCGCGTATCAAGTCTTCCCTGATGATATTTGCAGCGATGAATATCTTTTCCTTCCCCGGATTTGCACGCCCTGGTTCTGACGACCCGAGAATCCTTCTCTGCAGCTGTGCATAGTGTGCAGGGGGCCGCTGATAGGATGGGTGAAATATTGCCTGCACCGCCGAGACAAGGATGAATCCGCCTATAAAGAAGCTAAGAACTCTGAACACCAGCCAGATTGTGTGAGTCCAAGATGCGTTTCGGTAGCGAAACCGCCTTCGCTGGTGGAGTATCAGGTCGCGAAGAAGGTTCTTTAGGCAGCAGTAACAGCGCCGGGCCGTCCAGGCTCGCCTCCTGCCGGGTTCCTTTAGGCGAACGAGCGCTGTGCCGTCATCGTCGCTACCGAGGAGCAGTTCGATCTGGCTGGTCGAGTCGTCGAGGTAGCCGGACGCGGGCTCGCCTGAAGAGTATGCCATAGCTAGCTGTGTCTGTCAGAAGGCTGAAGGTGCAAGATGACGCAGAATTTTCTCCTCCTTCTCCTTCTCACACGCCCTTTGTTCACAGGGGAGCTGCTCCCACCCATCCAGCCGGTAAACCGTCATACCTTCGGAATCTATATAACGAGTAGCTATGGAGGAAGTACCTCCAGGCGCAAAACAGGTGAAGCGGTACTTAGTCACGTGTCACTTCTAGATGCACGTCGTAATCTCCCCCTGAAGTTCTTTTTTCCCTTCGCTTTCCAGGGTTTGGGCGCCAACTCCACCGCGCAAACAAGACATCAAGACATCAAGACATTGAGCCACCAGCAGCAAGACAGCCGGGACAGACAGCGGCAGAGAAAGGGGGAAAGAGACAGGACAGCGTTGAAGGGCGATGGCTTCCTCTGCTGGATTGTATCTCAACATCTAGGATATACCGACTAAAAATCCTCCAGTGTCCACCGTGGGAACCATGGAAGCGCAAGAACTCTCGCAGGACTCGCAACCATGCTTCGACAGCCCGCGGCAACGACAGCGAGCTTCGCTTCCTCCCAGACCAAATGGAGCTGCTCGACATGCAAAGAGGCTCACGCTCAACTTTCCCATCAATATTCCGCCAGAGCTGGTACAACAAGGGCCTCTCTCAGCGAGAGATTCGCCAGCATCGAAGCATAAGTCGTCAGAGTCGTCACCCATCATGCCTGCTTCTCATCGAGCGTCGCCTTCAGTCTCTGCGTTAAGTGAGCCTCCAGACGAAGGGTACGGGTTTCTCACGGCTCTCGCTGCACAGGAACGTAAGGTGCTGGAGCTCAAGGAGGAGCTACAGAGGGCCGAGCTGGAGCTTGCCACCTTGAAGAAACAATGGGAGCAGAATGAAAAGGGCCGGAAGATCACTCAGACCGTCTATCGTGCCGAGGCGATGAAGCCGTTGAGACAGACGCCGGTAGAAGGGAGTCTGGTTGGAGAGACAGGAGCAACTCAGTCGCCGGCCGACAGTGATGCATCCGGTTTGGGGAGAGTTAGCCGAGAATTCGACAGACGACACGGCTCCAAGCAGTCAATATCACATTCACCAGGCACAAGCCAGCTGTCCAGAGCCAGAACGGTGTTTGAGGGTTCTCGGCATACACGAACCCTCTCGCTTCTCTCCGCAAGAGACGACTACAATAGCTCTCCTTTCTCCTCCCAATCGGGCGATTCAAGAAGTGCACGGCCTTCTGGATATCCCAGATCCGCAACACTCCCTTCCTTTGACCGAGAAGCGAATGGCAGCAAAGCACCCGTCTTATCCCCCGCGAAACAGAAATCCATACAAGATAAAGGATTATGGCGAAGGTCTCTCCCACCAATACCGCAGGACCCAACTACAGAAGCACTTATGCGTACGGGAAAGCAGATGGCTACGGATTTCAAAGACGGGCTGTGGACATTCATTGAAGATATTCGTCAAGCTACAGTAGGGGATGAAGGTATCAATGCAACTCAATGCCGTACATCGCAGGTGTATCAACGCCAGGACCATCTTATCCATAGATCAGGTGCGGGGGCAGTAGGCGCCAAAGCCCATTCAGCAACTCCTTCGAGATCTGGAAGATCAGCATCTATCAAGCCCACTACCACCGCCAAGCCAAATAAACGTGGAGCGGCTTCAGATACCGACTTCTGGGAGGAATTTGGCGTCACCGCTCCAAATAAGACACAGCCAAACAAGGCTATTAATGGGAGCCGCAACAAGCCACATAATCCAAGCAACCAGACTAGTTTGTTAGACATCGACGATAACTGGGATATATGGGATAGCCCCCAGCCCAAAAGACACACCCCATCCTCGAGCAGCTCAACATTTCCATCCAAAAGAGACCAGTCGCCCTCGACAAATGCCAGTAGCCCACGGACCAGTGCAAGGTCAGCATACATACAGCGTCCTCCCCCAATCCTCCTATCCACCCGCAACTAACGCTCTTGAATTAGCGTGATGGACTACAAAGATCTGGATATCGAGACCTTCAGCAGCCCCGAGAATCCAGGTGGCATCCCGTGGCCCGCTATAGCCAAACCAACGCCTTCGAACCTGACCCGCACAGCCTCTAACTTGATGGCCGAGTGGGAACGAAGCCTCTCGCCGTCATCTTCAGATGGTGTAAAGAAAGGATCCAAAGACGACTAGGCTTCCCACATACGGCCGTGGTATCTATTACCTTTCCACTTTCATCTCCCTTAACAAACAAAACGTCCACGACATGACGGCCACGGTTGAATCATTATTATATATAAAGCATCAAATATAGAGAAAGACCTCTTCTCTGTTTCATACGCATTGGCAGGAGAAACTTGCCATGTCTAGAAACTTATACACGAATTTACGGACCTGATATGTTGGCGTTTTCCTTGATCATATCGACAATCTGTTTATTTTCCCTCATCTGAGTTCCCCATTCATAACCGGTTCGGCGTGCGTTGAATCTTATCTTTATTTCTTTTCTCTCCGTTCTGCTGTACATTGATTGGATTTTCGCTTCTCTATATACCTCGTTTATTGATCTGGGAGTTTCTTGTATTTACTGTTCTTAACGATTCTACTATTCAATAACTATGGACTGAACCATAAGATAGGTGCTATTTGGAACAATGTAATAGCGACTAACTTTGGCGCCACTGCCTCTCTGCCTATATATATCTAGGTAGGTACCTATGTCAACATCATCGTCTATTTTTGCTCGAAACGCCACTGTATTCTACAGAGATAATTACATTCTACAGCCACCAGTTTGACACGATGCCAGTTTCAACGAGGATGACGAACCGAGAACAGCAGGATGACTGGACACCGCCATGGTCAGATAAAGGGGCTGGATTGTATCCTGTCTTTTGTACCGCCAATATCCCTCCAGAGGTAGGCTAAGGATCTTTACTAGTTGCATCACCCTCTCCGTCATTTCTCTTAGTAATATTATATCACTCTAGATACTCGACCGGTTTATATATGAGGCATACGCAGGAATGTTAGATGTACTGGGTGAAATTGATGAAGTCGGACCTGGTGCACCTTGCATCCTCGAAACAACTGACCTGGACTCGATCACCCACGGCTCCCGCTTGCCTATGAAGCAATTCAAGTCTCCCTTCCTTGGCTGGACAGAGGGTCAGGTTCGTGAGTGGATGGTAAAGCATGAACACCCTAATTTCGCCTCGTCTACCTTTACAATCCTTGACCAAAATACAATTGATAGGGGGATATCACGGATGGGTTACATATCTGAGGTAATGCCTGATGATAGAATGACGAACGCTAGATTTTCTGATGATTTGGCGAACAGAGTTGCTCTAGAGATGTGTACGTTAGACTGGTATAACTGCATGGAGGAAGATGACGCGTGATCGGAGGGCAACGGAGGAGTATTCTGTGCTGGTCAATTAAGGGATAGGACCCTGTATGGCAAGCATCAGGACATATGGCCAGGTGAATGGCAGGTGAAGTGGTGGTAGTGACTTAGGTGCCTAGATAGTCCTTAGTAATAGTGACTGAGTCACGGCGGGCAATATAAAAGGAGGGGAAAGACCCCAAAAAAACTCACAAAAAACAACCTTGGAACACACCTACAAGCAGTACCCATATCCCACAAAACAAGCACTACTGATCCAAAAAGAGCCCCTGAAACGGCAGGGAATATTCGCGAATATGTTCGCCAATACGAACCGGCCAAAATGGCCATTACGGTCAAAGATTTAAACACAGGACAGGAGACAAAGGACCGAAGGAAGGAGGTACTACAGGGAGGGTCGAGGCCCATGGCCGTTGGGTGGATGAGGAACCACCAGCAAAATTTCGACAACCAGGAGACCCTTGCACCCTGAGGGTGACCTCTGAGTACGAGAGCAATTGTAGGTATCAACCCTCATATCATGTTATCTCCAGCATAGCTGATATATTTTGGGATATATAGACCAAGGAGGTGACCTACGCTGTGGGTCATGAAAGCCAGGAAGCTGGGGGAAAATACCATGATTACACATGGTATCAGATAGGACCCCGTATGGCAAGCACCGGGGCGTATAGTCAAGTGAATGGCAGGTGAAATGACTGCTGCAGGTGAAGTGGGAAGATGATAATAAGAGAATAGGAGGCCTACTTTACGGAGGAGAATGTTGATACTTGAGTCTACCAATCAGAAGCGTTAGTTATGATTCTGAATACCGTAAGGAGGAACTTAATATATTTTATACTGCTACCGAGTATATTGCAGGCACATGACAGCATTATATTGTAATAAGTAAGCCTTATGTCAGCATATCTCCGATAAGTTTTTCCGTTCAATGATTTTTTTTTTCGAGGTTTGACATCGCAGCTTTGAAGCTGGAGATGCGGACAGGAAGAGCCGTTTGATGCCATTTTAATACTTTATTCGATCTGACCTGCTAAGCTGTGCTTGTTCATTTTACCTCTTTTTAATATATTTTCTTCGTGGTGCCGTTTTGTTGCTTTAGAAGCTTGATCGCAAGTCCAGCAAGCAATACAGCCTAGTCCAGCAATAGAACCCACCACCTCAAGGACGAGATATAACTATACACAAGATGAGTTTTCCAGGCGCAAGCGGTTCGGGGCTGAACCCCGGCCTCACGGGTGCGGGGCTTCCTCCATCAACAACGGGACTAAACGAACAGGAGCAGGCCATGGTTAAGATGGTGAGTTACTCGGAGGGTGATAACCTTGATTAAACACGCAGTTCAGACGAGATACTGACCCGTTGTTGCCCTGTGTGATAGATGACCGGTGCGATGGAGTCATGTCCAGTTAAAACGGTAATGGCTGGAGGAATGGGCTTCGCACTCGGAGGCGCGTTTGGCTTGTTCATGAGCAGTGTATGTCTGAATTACCTTTCTTCCCCGGCACCTTCAGTTCAATGGCTTACGTTGGTTCTTTTTTTTTACTTGATAGATGTCGTACGACACACCTCTCACACCCCAAGGCCAGCAAATCTCCTCTCTACCGGTGCGCGAGCAACTCCGGCGAGGCTTCAAGGACATGGGATCTCGATCGTATAGCAGTGCAAAGAACTTTATGGTTGTCGGTGCTCTTTTCAGCGGAACCGAATGCTGTATCGAAGGACTCCGTGCTAAAAACGACCTTGCTAACGGTGTTGCTGCCGGCTGTATCACTGGTGGAATCCTTGGTGCCAAAGCAGGTCCTCAGGCGGCTCTCCTGGGATGTGCTGGATTTGCGGCATTCAGTGCGGCCATTGACGCGTACATGAGGCAACCGTCCGATTAATCTGGCCTCAACCTCCTTTCTCTTTTCATTTATCTGGGAGCTACTCCTCTTCGGCCGTCGACACCCTGAACGATAGAAAAAAACCTGGAAAGGCGAAAAAAATGTCCCGGCCGAGTCTCCCTGTTCGATAGACTCCCTTCTCATTTCCAACCCACTCCTTGGTGATTGAAAATTGTACGATTTATAGAGGTTTGTGCGGGTGCTATTTGGCGGACTATTACAACATACAACTACCGGCGTATACTTGGCGTTTTATTTTTGCATGGATGGATTCGAGGTTACTTGGATAACTAGAAGATGGGTTGGTCATGTCCCTTGGCGTGCATATAGGAACCTGCCGGTGTGGTTGTTCTCCAGCTTGCCTTGGAGCCTGGGAGATGCTCTGGCTCTGGACTTGCCTCCCAAGGAACATGTTCTTGCCGAGCTCCAGCCCAGCTCCGCATGGCGTCCAGTCCACAAGACGATGGACGGGACGATCAGCAGTCAACTACTAGGGCTAGCTGAGCTTGGGTACTATTTCATTGGGGACTGGCTAGGGGGCGACAATCACCCCCAACAGCTTCTTTTTTAACCCGGCTTTCAACACACCCGAGCGAGACCGCAGGAACCCTCGACTTGACACCAGCGGAGGCAGAGAAGATCTAGATATATGTAACCAAGAGAGTTACGGCTGTACAACTACTATACTAATGCCAGACATAATGAATATATATAATATATATATCCTCCAGACATATACGGTGTATATACATGCACCAATCTCCAGGCAAACTTCCACGCCAAAGGTCAAAGTCTTATCTCAACCTTACAAGACAGGCAGCCCAAGCAGGTCCATCCATTCACCTTTCGGCAACTTATCCTGCCAAACCTCACAAAGAAAGCCAGCTTATCCCCATCGCCATCGCTATCGGCCGGCAGGGATGTGTGTTCGGGGAGTCGCTTGGCGATGTTGTTTTGACGCAAACATACGTCACACTAGACCAGTTTGAATAGCCATCACGGAGCTGGTGGCGCCTCGCAGGCCTCCAGAGCAGACAAACACTGGGTCTCCGTGCGAGGAAAACGCTGTGCAATTCGTGAGCTTTCCCTTTTCTAGTCCATGATGGAGCTTTGCTTGCACTCGCTTCCCAGGCATCCGCAGCTTCCGCTTGAGCTTGCGAGACGGGCAGCGTGGAGTCTTCCGTAACGACGGGGAGCTTTCTGTCAACGATAACACATGCAAACTATTAGCAGCAAACAAGAGATAATCAGGAGTCCTAAACTGTCAGATCTCCATCCAGACCACATGAGAACCGAAGCCCCTTTATATATTTTAGTACGGAGTATAGCCTTCTTCTATCGCTTTCCACCGTTCCGCTGATCGTCCCTGTGCCCGTGCCTTAGGGGCAAGCCTTCACACGCAACCCAACAGCAATCAATTGCAAGTCCTAAGAGAGCCAGAAAGCAAGGCCGTCGAAAAATTTAGTAATATCTAGCGTTTATAGACCGGGAAAATCACTTGGCTGGTCTAGCTAGTTACACGGTCTGATCATCTGGCAGCACACAAGGTAACGAGAGAAGAATATATAGGGACAGCCACTCCCGCCCCTGAGCTTCTGAACGGTGTTTGCGAAAGGGTGCCAGCAAGCACGGTGACTTGTTAAGAAACTGACCACCATGTTGCAGCCGGGCTTGAGAACAGCGTTCAGGTCGCTGTTGAGCCTCATCAGGGACTTCCTCGCCGGAGGGCCGTTTGCCTTCATCGTGAAACGCATCAGGGGATATCTAGCCATGGAAAAGGTACGGCATCAACCAGATCAGCTATTGGCTATCATCTCCGTGCGACATGCTGACTTGTCTGGTTGTTTGACCGATAGCCATCAGAAACTGTGCCGCTAGGGCTGACCGAGATCATAAATCGAGAACCGCCCATCAAGGAACTTGTGTCCAGGTATGAAGTGCGATGTTTTGATATTTATATACTTCAGGCGGTGTTTTGCAGGATACGACATGCAAACCCCTGCCCAAAGCTGTCGCTCGTATTTTCTCCCCTGCGACAGGGATACATGACTCTATGATTGGTGACTTTATTCTCCGGGCATCAGGCAGCTAACACAGATATATCCACAACAGCTTCTTGACCACGAAAGGTGCATACCATCGAAACCACAGCGTTATTCCACAGATAGACGGGACACGGCATTTCATTACTGTCGATGGCGAAGTCGACAAACCATTTCTACTCTCATTATCGCAACTACGGAATGAATTCCCGCAACATGAAGTCGTTTGTGCGATGCAATGCGCAGGGAACCGACGTCACACCATGCGAACAAGGCTAAAAGAAGTACACGGCGTCGACTGGACTGATGGCGCTATCATGAACTGCAAATGGAAGGGCCCACGACTTAGAGATGTTTTGATGAGAGCACAACTCAAGGACAAGGACCCGGAAAACAGCCTATTACATGTCGCTTTTGCCTGCTTTCAAGCGCCTTGCCAGGATGACGACTATTACGGTGTGAGCATTGAGCTGTGGAGAGCCATGAAGATGAGCGAGGAAGTTATTCTAGCCGTTGAGGTAAGAATCCCACTTTCCTCCCTTCACCGCAGGCTCCTAACGACCCTTGGAACTGACTTTCTCTAGATGAACGGTGAGACACTGCTACCAGAGTATGGCTTCCCGGTCCGAGTTGTTGTACCAGGAGTTGCTGGTGCACGATGGGTGAAATGGCTCGACCGAATCACAGTTCAGACAGATGAATCTCCCAGCTTCTACCAGCAACATGATTACAGAGTTCTCCCTCCAGAAGCTACTACCTGGGAAGTTGCAGAAAAATACTGGAGCACCGTACCGTCAATCCAAGAAATGCCTGTGAACTCAGTTGTCGCCTGTCCTGACGATGGGGATACTGTCAAATTATCCTCTGACGGTTGTATAGAGGTCAAAGGATATGCTGTCCCCGCCGGCAGCCAGGGGCCTATTGTTCAAGTCGAAGTCTCGACGGATGGCGGAAAGAGCTGGGTTGATGCCGAACTACAAGACGACAAGCCCCAATCCAAATGGTCCTGGACTCTATGGAAAGTCAGAGCCAAAGCTGAAAAGGGGCAGGATAAGACAATATACTGCCGTGCCACTGATGCGGGCGGAAACTCGCAACCGGAATTTTCGCAATGGAATATTCGCGGCGTAATGTACAACGGCTACGGCGCATCCTGGAATGTTAACGTTGTTTAAAATGGGTGGGATTTATGTTTTCTTCATGCTTGTTGAGCAAGCAAGCTCTTTTCTCTTTCTTATGAATGGTTCCCCCAAAAAGCTGTGTTGGTGGCTTTTATGACCTAGCATTTTTTTAATGTCGATATCAAGTTCATACCCGGGACAATCGGACTGCTCGTTGCCCTCTTTTATCTCAGGCTTTCGATAGTACATTATGATAATCTATATTGCTTAACGCCGCTATCAAGTACGGCTATCAACAGGGCCGTGCAGATAAATCAAATCACGGCAGCACAATATATTTCTCCAAATGTTTGGGTATGGCGTCTCTAAGATTCTTGCTCTTCAACCACTTATCAGAGAACAGCCGATCTGCATATCGATAGGCACCATCGCACAACATGGTGACGACAGTATGTCCCTTCCCAAGCTTCTCTGCAACCTCCTTTGCAGCAACAACGTTAAGTGCCGAGCTAGCACCTAGATATAGGCCTTCTTCGTCGAGACACCGGTATACCATCTCAATACTCTTCTCGTCACTGATGCTGAGTGCTCCATCAACAAGATCAATATCGGGTTGCAAGTTATCCGTTACACGGCCTTGGCCAATGCCTTCCGTAATACTACTACCAGTGCGCTCTATGAGGGTACCCCCACTTGTGATGTAGCTGTACAGCACACTCCCCGGGGGATCGGCAAGGAACGACTTCACTTTACCATCGCTAACAGTCTTCAAGTACCTAGTAACACCAGCTAGTGTGCCGCCAGTACCAGTAGCACAAGTGAACGCATCAACTTTCCCTTCCGTCTGCGCCCAGATTTCTGGGCCAGTGGTTTCAATATGGGCTCTCCGGTTAGCTATGTTATCGAACTGGTTAGTCCAGACGGCATTTTCAAGAGACTCGGCGTGTCTCCGGGCTTGGTGGTTGTAGTTCTCTGGGTTGTCGAACGCAACAGCAGGTACGGGGTAGACCTCAGCGCCCAGAAGTCTCAGCAAGTCGATTTTGCCTTGCGACTGGGTGTTTGGCATGTAGATAACTAGCTTGTATCCCTTTGATCGACACACATGGGCCAGGCCAATTCCGGTATTTCCTGCTGTTCCTTCAACGACGGTGCCGCCTGGTTTAAGAAGGCCTCGCTCCTCGGCGTCTTTGACGACGAACAATGCGGCCCTGTCCTTGACGCTTCCGCCGGGGTTTTGGAACTCGGCTTTTCCCAAGACATTACAGCCGGTTTGTTCGGAGATGCGGTTCAATCGGATTAATGGGGTGTTTCCGATAGCTGAGAATCATACCAATCAGTTTCGGGTACAAACCAGATCATAAAAGGGTACACAATTGCATTCACTTACCCCCGGTCAGGCCCTTTACGACACCTTGCGCCTTGGAAACCCCGACTCCATAGGTGTTCCTCGCTTCCATCTGAGCAGCCGTCTCGGCAGCTCTCAGAGCCGTAGAGGTGAACGTCCGGACTCCCTTCTTAAACATGATTGCGGTAGAATGTATATATATGGTATTAAATAGCAAAAGGGGGTGTCAATTGAAAGGAAGAGAAAAGCCGGGCAGTCTCATCTTCGGGAGTTAAAGGGCGGCGGAGAACCGTAGTTTTGATTAGTCAGAAGTAACTATAACTAGAGGTTATGGCGTGATTAATTCATAGAGCACATAAAAGACGAGATATCAAACAGTCACTAGTAAATCATTACCCCAATTGTAGATAAAACAGAAGAATAAATCGAAATCCAAGTTCATCTTTTGCTATAAAGCTGTAAAGTAGTGCTTTATTTCCCTCTTAGACGACACCGCGGCACTCGGGTGTACATACCAAAAACGGACTAGCGTCATGGCGCTTATCTTATCGCGTGTTTGTTTACTTTATCCCGAAGAGGAAAAACTGACAACCAAAAGCGAGCAAGCAAGCAACGAGCAGCATGGTTTTACCGCAATATCGATATTAACGCCAATATCTACTGGGGATTAGTTTTGGTCCTACTTGACGATAACTATCGCCGAGACTCGTCTTGTCGCAACACTCGCTTTCATGCGCTGCAGTCTCTCTACCCCTCGCTGCCGCCCATAGTTTCGAAGGAGTATACACCTACCTACCCTTTTCCCGACCCTCGATTATATACCTCTGTACTGTGAGCGCGGATAAAAATGCCCGGTCGTGCGCCTTCTACTCGCCCTTCGTCAGCTGCGTCCACACGCAAATCATCCGTTCCACCTACAACCGCACCCACTGTTTATATTCCAGAGGAGCCAGCCTTACCCACCACCTCTGCATCTCTCCGCTCAAATGTCGTCGACATATTCGCAGATGCGCAGCGCGCAATTACAGGGCATAGGAAACTTGCTATTAAGCTGAGAAAAATTCAGGAAGTTTGCTGTGGACTTCGGACAGCAAAAGTGGACGGGAAAAAGGGCTCCCGTCTCAGTGAAATCCCCGATTTAGCCGGTGGTGGACTTCCAGAGAAGGAGCTAAACATTGAGATCTGTCGATGCCTACTTCGAGTGGTGCCAGTAAAGAAAGCCGAGGGAGCGGCGGATAGGGTTATCAAGTTTCTCGGGACATTCTTGAAAGCTGCCACTGACAAAGGTAAGGTCTAAGAACGGTTAATTGAGTTAGCTGAATCAAACACTAACACTGAATTATTCGCGCAGACCTCGAGATTTATTCTGACGATGATCCTGATGAGACGCGCGGCTTACCGGAAACCCCGTCTTCGCGGCTTACATTCACGATTGTGTCTACGCTTATCCCGCTACTTGCCGCAAAGGACAAGACGGTTAGATATAGGACAACCCAGATAATTTCGCATATCGTGAATTCATTAGATTCAATTGACGATGAACTATATAACTTAATACGACAGGGTCTTGTCAAAAGAATCAGAGATAAAGAGCCTACTGTTCGTGTACAAGCGGTTATGGGACTTGGTAGACTGGCTGGGAACGATGAGGAGGATGAAGACGGGAACAACGGAGATAGCCCCTCTGCTCTGCTGGAAAAACTTCTTGACGTACTTCAAAATGATACCAGCGCCGAAGTTAGGCGTACACTTCTCCTAAACCTGCCTCTTACTCCATCAACCTTGCCTTTCCTACTTGAAAGAGCCCGGGATGTCGACGGTCCAACTAGACGTGCTCTATACACCCGATTACTACCTACACTTGGTGATTTCCGCCATTTATCTCTCTCTATGCGAGAGAAGCTACTACGATGGGGCATGCGTGACCGTGACGATAATGTCAGAAAGGCGGCTGGACGGTTGTTCTATGACCGTTGGATTGAAGACTGTGCAAGCTCATATAGAGCAGAAGAAGAGGAAGGTGGAGAAAGGACCTCATCCCCCACAATCGCTGCTCTTACCGAGCTTTTGGAGCGCATTGATGTGGTGAACTCTGGGGTAGATAACGGAATTGCTCATGAAGCTATGAAAAATTTCTGGGAGGGAAGGCCAGATTACCGTGATTCTGTGACTTTTGATCAACAGTTCTGGGAGACTTTGACGGCTGAATCTGCATTTATGGCCCGAAGTTTCAATTCTTTTTGCAGACAGGAGGGCAACGGAAAACTCGAGGATTTAGCAGATGAAAAAATCCCTGAAGTCACTGCTATGGCATTTTATCTGCACAAGTACGCTAATGTACTCCTTACGCGATTAAACAATCCGGAAGAGGCAGAGGGAGGAGAAGAACAAACCATGGAATATGAATTCATTGTTGAACAATTGCTTTATATCTGCCTCACGCTTGACTACAGCGATGAGGTTGGCCGAAGGAAAATGTTTTCTCTCCTTCGAGAGACCCTGGCTGTTCCAAACCTACCCGAGGAGATCACGAAGCTTACGGTCGAGGTCTTACGGTGTGTTTGTAGTCCTAATGCTGCTGGTGAGGGTGAATTCTGCAGTGTTGTCCTCGAAGCTGTAGCGGAAGTCCACGACACAATTGTTTCCGAAGACAGCTTTGTCTCGGCTAAGTCAGAGATTAGCGAAGACAGTAACCAACCAGTGCAAAAGGATAAGCGCAAAAGTGGTGCCGGACGAGGCGAAGAAGACGAGGAAGATAGCGAGGTACCCTTCAACAAGGAAGAGGCCAAGGCTAAAGTGCTCAAGGAAATTGTGGTCAACATGAAGTGTCTCTACATTGCGCAGTGTATGCTTCAAAATGTGGAGGGAAATCTCCAAGATAATGTGCATCTTGTGACGATGTTGAATAATCTGGTTGTGCCGGCTGTTCGAAGTCATGAAGCCCCTATTCGTGAAAGAGGGCTTGAGTGCTTGGGGCTGTGTTGCTTATTAGACAAGGTACGTACATTATACCTCGCCAATTTATTCGGATTTAAATCTAACTTCGGAATAGTCCTTAGCAGAGGAAAACTTGGGATTGTTTATCCACTGCTATACCAAGGGCCATGAATCGCTTCAAGAAATGGCCCTCAGGATTCTGTCGGATATAGTTACAACGCATAATTCATTGCTTGCGCCAGTTGCATCTGCAAATGATCCCAGCTCCGTGACTCCTCCGCCATTCCAGAAACCGCTGCTGAAGGCCTTTGCAAAGGCCTTAAAGACATCAAATCTACCGCATGCTCAAAGTGCAGCTGTCATTGCGCTAAGCAAAATGCTCCTCACGAATGCCCTCTCTCCTTCCAGCCCATCAATTCCTCCCTCGATCAAAGAATTCAATGATAACTCCGTTGCAACACTTCTACAAGCCCTCGTCCTTGCGTTCTTCAATCCACGGACGCGAGAAAACTTAACTCTCAGACAAGCCTTGACCTATTTCTTCCCTGTCTACTGCCACTCACACATCTCCAACGCTCAGCAAATGCGAAAAATTGCAGTACCGGCAATCCGTACTGTCCTTGCAGCTGTCGATGATTTCTATGCTCTTGAAGCAGAAGAAGATAGTGATGGTGAAGTAGATGGAAGTGTTGGTGAAAAAGAGACCAAAGCACTCATGACAGGTGTTGTTGGGATGTTAACCGAATGGACCGACGATCGTCGGATTATCGGCCTAGGTGGCGGAGGAGATCCGTTGGCACCAGCGAGCCTTTCGACTAACTCGATGCTTCGGCCTAGCGAGAGCCTTCACTTAGCACTCTCCAAGGATATCCTACAACGAGTTTTAGGTGTTGGAGGCTTTGCTACTGCACCACGAGAAGAAAGGAAGTACTTGCTTTCTATGTTGAGCAAGCTACATTTACCTACTCCCGTTCCAATGCCCTCTTCAAGAGCCAGTTCCCGTGTTCCCGAGGGTGCTCCTGATGAACGAGAAAGTTTACGACCCAGCATCAGGACTGACAATATGACTTCCCAGCTTCAAGAAGATGATGATGAGCTGCCTCTCCAGGTTAAAGACCTCCTGGACCAAGCTATTTCAGCTGGTGTTGCTAGTGATGCTTCAAGCAGAAATGCACTTGTGAAAGCAAAGAATTCTATCCTCAAATTGCTTGCTGGTATTATAAAACCTTCGGATATGGATTCCAGCACGATGTCTGCACGACCTGGAAGACGAGAAAGAGTCCGCGTCAAGGATGAGCCGATTGAGGAAGAGGATGAGAATGACGTGACAGCTATGTCTCAGGCGAGCAGGGCCAGCTCAGTGGCAACAAGCAATATTAGTCGCATCGAGGAAGAGGATGAAGGCGAGGAGACGGAGACTGAAAAGAGAAGATCAGCCCGTCGTTCTGAGAGCGTGGCCAGTTCAGCTGCGGGTGATGAAACTGAGTAACGGGTGCTCAAAAATTAGGTATCTCGCCCTTAAGAAATCTCGATTACTTCTGTCTTATAGGGGCTACTTGTACAGTTTCCTTGTCATATTGAATGATATACTGTCTATGGCCGGATAATTTACCTACTTAAAATGGAGAATACTGAGTGATTTAAGCATGCACTGACCAAATATTAGACACGTTACTAGCCAAAATTCGAGCAACAATCTTAAACGATATAGTTAATTGGGTCGAACACTCCTAGCATACACAGTGGCGTTGTAAATAGGGGTAAGAAAGTATGTATAAAGTTTTCAGGACAAGGTAAAATTAACTACAATGGAGAAGTTATAAAGGCAGACTTACAACTAGTAAAACAGAAAACAATTTGAGAGAAGAGTAGAAGACTTTGAATGAAGAGTGAATTAAATGAAAAAAAGGAGCAAAGGAAATAAAAGAGATTCCTCCAAGCCGCACTCCAATAATAAAAGACAACCCACATGCCATCCCAAAAAAGAGCCAACCCATTTCCAACTGATGGCCAAAGGAAAACACTCCATCCTGCAACCAAAACTACCCTTGCATTGTCCGTTCATGGGGCAACCCTCCAAAGATCGAGAGATGGAATCAACACAGTAACAGTAACGTATTAAAGGGGACTGAACAAAAATATATGGTGATAGGCGAGAGAAAAGGGTACAGGCCAAGAAAAGAGAAAAAGGTAGGGATAAGAATGGAATAGCAAGGGGGCGGTGGTGATATGGTGATATGGTGATATGGTGATATGGTAGGTAGGTAGGTAGGCCGGCAAGGCAAAGAAAAAGTAGCGATCAAATGAAGAAAAAGAGGAATTAAGGAAGAAGAGAAGAAAACATTTTCCTGGCATGAAGGGGAACAGAACAGACATGCCGCATGCCATGTATAAGGTAAAATACTCCCGACTCTCCCGCTTTGCTCGTTTTCTCTTTCCCGTCCGCTGTATGTCCGACCTTCCCCCGTTTCCCAAGACTCAGTCAAATTCTTTTCAAGGAGAAAAAAAGCACGAAGGAGAAGTAAAGTAAGAGAGTAAAGAAAAAAGAATTAACACGATAGATAACCGATGTCCTCCCACTGGAGAGTATTTTTTTGTCAAGGAGAGGAACAAACAACCCGTCTTTCTGTAACCCGTTTCCAATTTCCTTCCGATGTTTTGGATGCCGCTCTTTTGCTTTTGATTTTGCTCCGCTGTTGAAAAGTGTTTTTTTTTGTATAGGTTTTTTTTCGGTGATTTTGATTGTTGTTGTGTCCAAAAGAAGAGTGTGCTTTGGTATATTCTCTTTCGCTCAAAATGCCATAACAAAAAGCAGAAGCATCCGTCCAACATCCCACACCCCCCCCCCCCCCCCCCGCTCCAAGAGACCAAAAAGAAAGAATAAAGCCCAGGAAGAATCAGATCCGTGTTCGCGCATCAAGTGCTGTTTGGGACCGGTCTATTGCACTGCTTTTGTTTTGTATTATTCCGGAAAAAGACGACTGGAAGAATGAGGCCAGTTAAGGATGGGTGGGTATGGCAGTTTCCTGGCTAAAGTCGAAGCAAATGGCTTCTTGTAATTGACCGGAAGACGTTGCGAGTGGTGAAAGAATCTTCGGCTGGGATGAAGATAGGATGGTAGGAGACCGAGGCCGTCATAAACAATAGAACTAAAAACAAAAACAATGCGTGGGTTGAGGAGAGACTGCACTTATAAGAAACAGGAAAGAAAGAGACGAAAAAAAGGGCCAACTCCTTCAGAGACAGGCTGAGAAGGAGGTCTAAGGAGACGATCTTTGGGTCTTAGGCCTGTATAAAATATGGCGTCGTATCAGACTGGAGTGCTATAGTCAGATTGCCCACAACAGTCCGGTGAGGGGCGGATATGGTCTGGGTTTAAGCAGGAGATTTGTTGGCAGATGCTCCGTTTCTACGTCCATGTGGCTCATCTCCGACAGTCAAGCCTCCAAGGCCAGTTGACAGGAAGGCAAAGGGGTCAGATCCTCCATCACCACTGTAGAATCCGCCGCCATTGGAAGTGCCAACTGGCTGGGGGGTATGGTCGGCGGCCGTGAAGGCAGCCTGGGTTGCAGGGTTGCCAAAGGAGGCAACAGACTGAGAGCCACTGGTAGAGCCATAAGCGCCATGGTTCATTTGGCCCATGGGTGGTGGATAGGGTCCTGGAGCGTTCGCAAGACCAGACGGAAGAGAGTAGGTGCTGGGTGGGCCGCCAAACTGTTGACCGAAACCACCGAAGTTTCCACCGCTGGAGGCAAAGGGGCCGGCTCCGGGAGCATTGGCCATAGAGCCAGGGCCACCCATGCCGAAGCCAGACTGTGGATCCATGGGAGTCGGGAATGCAGAGTCAGCAACAACTGCAGCACCTGAGCGTGGACCACCGCAGCGAAGACAGTTGATGTTCTTCGCGAAGTTGTGGTAGCCACAACCATCGGATCCGCACTTCCAGTCTCCAGCACGGAACGGGACAACACCGCCGTTTCCTCCCATTCCTCTTGAGTGGTGGCCCATACCGTGACCTCCATGACCTCCGTGGCCTCCGTGGCCTCCATGGCCGCCATGACCACCATGGTGACCCATGTGGTGTGGTGGTGGCATCATGTTGGGTGGTCCATAAGAATAAGCGTACGGCATTGGGTCTGGGCCAGAGCCAACGGCTGGGTACGAGCAGCGGAAGCAAGCAGTACGACGCTGGAAGTTGGAGAAACCACAGGATGGACAAGTCCAGTCACCGGGACGAGGACGGTTCTTGCTAGGAGGGAACGGTGCCAGAATCTCCGCAGCACGATCGAGGACACGGCTGGAGGAAGGCGAAACTTCAATTGCCTTGTCATTCAATGCACGGCCATTCATGCAAAGACTTTCAGCAGCCTATACGTATAGCATCATTCAATGGTTAGATTTGAGCCATTAATAACTTAGAAGCAAGGAGAGTGATAGACGGAAGCTTACCTCTTCATGGGAAGAAAAGACAGCGAAGCCGGTGCCGGTAGGCTTGTGCTGGTCCGGAGTCCTCAGGGTCCAAAAGGCGATGGGCCGTCCGCCGAACTGGGTGTACCAGCTCTCCAGCTCAGACTGTGTGGTATCATGGGGCAAGCCACTCATATGCAAAACCTTACTACGCTCTGCCAAGAACGCACGAACGTCCGCTCTGGCGTCCATCGGGCGGGTCATAATTTCCGGGTGTTCATGGGGAGGCTGAGACTTGCGGATCAGGCCACGGAGCACTCTGGCAAGCGTGATGACTTCCTCCATTGCTCTGCGAGGCGACGCAGGTGCAAGAGCCTGCAGATGGAAGGGCAGGTTGTGCTTGATGGGGGCGGAGGACTGGACGGGCTCGACCTCGAGGGCAGCACAGATGTTGGCGAGGTCGCTGGGACCGAACGGAAGAGACTCCGGATGGTGCTGCTGCCATCTTTGATACTCGGTGCGGAGGTCGAAGGTACGGGAATGCTGCAGGTACGGAGGTAGCACGACAGCTTTATCACGGGCCTCCCTAGGCAGCTGCACACGCATGTCCCATGAATCCAGCGTCACAAAGGCGAACTCGAGGTTTTTCGATAGGAGATTCTCCTGGGCAAAAGTGTCGAAACGATTGATGGCATCACGGAAGGTACCAGCAGACCGGACGTGTTCCCATGTAAGAGTGGTCAAGCTCGCTAGTAGTAGTGTTGTTTGGTTAGCTATGAAATAGTCTCCACGACAGATCCAACGAAGGAAGAAAAAAAAATCTCAACGGAATTGAAGAACACGTACTGCAAAGAGGCGTGATAGGAGTGTTTACTGGCTTCACCAGGACACTCTCGCGATGGATCTGGAGGTAATTGATGTATGTGGTCAGCAAGCTGGCCACTTTGAAACGGGCTGAGTGAAGCCACCGCGGCCTACCTCTTCACAGTTCTTGGTGTCCAGGAGTATCCATCCGAGCTCAATGACTTCTGCAGAGTCCTTTGTAACGTACACGCCATGTTCATCACAGGTTGTAGCGACGTGGATGATGATATATCGGTCGAGTTTGGGGGTGGGAGACTGGATGGACGCCATATTGGATGCTGTCCAGGTTGATAGCGACGAACAACGACAACGACAACGGAGACGACGATCAGGGACGATTAAGGTCGATTAGGCCGAGCAGACGCAACGAGCTCGACGCTGACAGAGGGAGAGAGAAGGCCGTCCGTTCTTCTTCTATCCCGAGTGCTCTGGAGACTGGGGAGTTTTCCAGCAAAGCAGAAACAACCAAATGGCCAACAAGCAACGGAAAGCAGAAAAGAAGCAGAGAAACGGACGAATTAAGGAACCCCCGACGATGAAACCCCCCCGGTTAATAGTATAAAAAAGAATAATATAACCAAAACAGAGACGAATCCTGGCGGCGGAAAAAAAAAGAGAGCGTGGTTAAGGATAGAACCGTAGGGGACGCACTGGACGGGGAGACGGAGAGACGGAAGGACGGAGCGAAGAGAAGAGAAAAGGGAGAGACGAAGAAGATAGCTACGTCTTCTTCAGTGTCTTCTTCGTCTTCTTTCTTCTTGTTGCGAGGGAGAAGAGAGGAGAGAGAGAGTAAGAGAGTGAGAGTGAGGAGGATGACTTGTTGTTTGGCTGAAGGAGAAGAAGCAGCAAGAGATGGAGGACGAAAACGAAAACAGGTGGGCGGCTTTTTTTCTTCTCTTTTCGGGGTGGAGGCTTTTTTTTCTTTGCTTCTTCGCAGTCTTGGGCTTAGTTAAGAAGCGTGAGAAGAGCGCCGTTTGGTCGCGAGCAGCAGCACCGTCGCCCTCGTCCTTGCTCTGCTACGAGCTGGCTGGCTGGCTGGCTGAAGTGAGTGTCTTTCTACTGGGCTACATAGAGGGTGCAGTTGTCTCGCTGCAGGAGGTGCTGGCGCTGCGGTGGGTGAGAGCTTCCCCTTAGTTGCTGCTGCCAGCTCGGCCACGGCTAACAGACGAACCACGCAGCAGGCAACGCAGTCCAGCCAACCAAAGGGTCGAGTCGATGCGATGGGATACGCCAGGCTGACTCGAGACGTGCATTCGCTGCGGCAGTGACAAATCAGCCTCTCCAGGGTTTTACGGATGGCCTCTTTTACCTTCACGCGGACACCGGTGGAAGCTGGCGGGACGGACAGACAGGTCCAAGTACATCTACCTGCAAAGGGACACTGTTTACACCCTGGTCGAGGGCTATTACACACATAGTACGCCCTTCTATCCTGCCCGTCGCCAAGCGGGACAGCCTGTTTGTCCGCCATCCTGGTTCCTGTGTCCTCGAGCTCCGGGCATCAAGCGACAAAAGCAAAAGGCACCTCGAGAGCGCTGCAGCTTCCCGGGCCAAGGGGACATACATGCACTCGGACCATGCATATGTGCATACGGACAGTATGTACAGGCGGACAGGCAAGGACTATAATCTCGATGGGGTGTTTTCTCTCCCCGCCAGTCATCGAGCCGGGGTTACGTTTTTTTTTTTTTTTTCGTTTCCTTTTCAGCCGTCGTCCACGCCTAGAAGAGGCACTCTCGTCATACGAAAAGAATGCATGCTTAGATACGCATAGTCTTTTACTCGATTAGGTCGATCCCTGGCTGATGCAGGCCACGACTAGCTTACCCGCTCACGAGAGAGCGTACATATACAGGATGCACCAGGCTGCAGCACCCTACGCCAACATCACAATTCCAAACGGCGACTATCAACTTTAATTTTGCTGGCTGGTTCAAGGACGGGAGTAGTTACGGTACTGGTAGCAGCTGACAGCGGGAAGCAAACCCAAGCTGCCTCACAGCTAATCTAACATGGCCAGATCTTCGTCTGTGCTACTCACTACCTACTAGTGCTTTTTCCACAGACAGCCTCTGGCCCAACGGACCACCCCTCTCCAACCATGGGCCATGCAGTACATTGAACCAGTGATGCTGTCGTCTTCTCCACTGAGGATAACCCTCGTTAATGAGAAGACTGAATGTCGAGAATCAGGACATATTCTGGTAGGTGGACAACATCGCAGGTACAGACTTACTCCCTGTACTCTGTACCACTAATTAATGTTTCATTTTATTACCCTCCTTCGTCATCCATGCCATTATGGACGATTGTATAAACAACAATACTATTGCCAGAAGGCTTAGATGATTGGATACCTCATGGAAGCAATGCCTCCGAAACGAGTACGACAGCTTTGGCATCACATCGCCAATGCGACTGTTCAAGTTAATTGTTCTTCACATTCTTGTGTCGCAAATACCCTCCTCCGCTTTTGTTAGCGATTTGATCAGTTTTCTTCCCCGGACACCAAGGAGATCGCGTAAGTCATACTTCGACCGCCTGCTACTTCATCTTAGATGTGAGAGAGGAATGCTTTATAAACATTACTACGGAGAGAAAAGATGTAAAAGGAGAAGCGCAGGTTTCTTATCCATTGACACATAAGATGCAAGCCATCTTTGCCTCTATCCTGCCCTCGATCTAAAGATGCCCCCGGTGCCTAGAAGAGAGCCTCACATTGTATGGCCGTTTCCGTTCGCAGGTCGAATCAAACAACCAAAATAATCGCATTTCCTCTCGGACAGGAAGTGCTGGAGAAGGTTTCCATGTATACATCAATTTAGGCAGCTAGAAAGAATTCTATAGATCCGCTATGCCGTCTAGTATTTCCGATATCTGGCACAGGACCTACCAATATCGGAGGCTTGAGACAAAATGGACTCATATACCCTACGAATAGCTATGCATATTTCCCCAACGCAACATGACTGTATGTCCTATCTACGCTAAACAAGAACGAGGCAAAGTTCGCTCACCTTGAGTGAATGTTTCCTTCGATACCCTCGCTAACAGAAATAGACCAAATTGACTGATAGCTGTGAAAGCTGCTTCGACCATTCTTACCACGCCGAATCACTTTTTTCCTAGAACGTGTATTGTGCTAGCACAAATTCACAATGAGCAGCCGTAGAAACCGCACTTCTGCTCTTCAAAAGAGCGAATGGTACGAGCTTTTCACCCCTTAATACCCTCGACACTTTTATCTATAAGCCATGGCCGATGGGCGACAAAAAGGGTCGCGCTTACAAACTCTGCTTGGCGCGCGGCGCGTCTGCTGGGTTCGGGAACTAGTCTTTTTCCGGCGCTTGGCGTTTGTACGCCCCACAGCAGCGGCTCAAGAAAAGGAAAGTCAGCGCCGTGAATGCCGACGGTGTCCCGATATTCTGCGTTACCATGAGTGACTGTGGAACGACTATGCCCTGCATACGGATAGTCACTTCTATGGCGCGATGGATAGGCTATAAAGCCGTCTCTTCGGTCACCTTTCTCAAACTCTCTTCTCTTTTCCTTGCAAATCAATCTAGCAACGAAATCTACTTATTTTTTTTTTTTTAATTTGAACTTGATAACTAGGTAACACCGTGCGTCAACCAGCAAAATGAAACTCGGCCCTGCTTCTTTATTCGCTGCCGCTTTGGCTTTCGGTATAGGGGCCACTCAGGTAATATTATATCCGCGGCCAGGTCACCGGTTGGAAGCCAGAGCCCATCTAACACGACAATAGGTTTATGCAAGCCCGCTTGCCGACCCGCTTCCTCATCCAGTTGGGCCAATAACATACACCGGCCCTGTTGAGCTAAACGGAAAGAACTTGAACTTGACCGTTGAAGGCACTGTTCAAGAGATCTACTCGAAAGTCAAAGATCGCACCGGGGTGATCTTAAAACCGGTGGATCTCCATAAGGATGACTCTAAACATAAACTCCGGGCCCGTGCTAGGGTATTTATATCTGCCTAAAGCGTCCACTTTTGATAAGTCTAGCTGGAGACAGTTGTTAATGTCAGAGATCTTTCAGGCCTCGATTAACTGCCACCCACAAGGCGGAGGTGCTAAAGTCAAATCAATCCGTGAGGGCGCCAGCTACCTTAATGGCCTCCATGGAAAGTTTAGACCCTTGCCACGGACATGCAGCCGAGTGAGCTGCTCCTGGGACTCGGGTATCTTCCTTTGCAACGATGTAAGGTTGCATATAGTCCCAGCGTACTATCGACCGACGCTTGCTGACTTCGTGCGTTAACAGAACGACCATAAAGTCTCCGTTCCCTGCAAGTTAGTCGCAGAATACACTCGGGATATTCTTGATATCTGTGCTAGTCCCGACGTAGTTTCGCTAAGAGGACAGGAGTTTGATAGCGATGGCTGGAATGTTGTTGTTAGGGAGAGCAACTGCTAGACATTTGGTGTTTAAGGTGGTATGGAAAACCTACCAGTGACATTTCAATGTCTTCTGATTTCATTTTCAAGGTCCCATGGCAGCAACAAGTCGTCAGTTTCTCATTTTCTTCGGGGGATCAATAATGACCTCACCCGAGTAGTTAGTTAGTTAGCACCATCCACAATCCAGGCGGTTGGTTATTGGAAGCATGTCTCTGGTAGCTGAAGCAAGTCGCAATTTCAATGAATATCCTCATCGATAGCATGCTCGCTATCTGTGTCTTGTAGTGTAGGCACACGATGGTTGTGTTTGTTTGCTGCATGAATAACGCGGAAGAAGTGGCTGACACGCTAATCCCAACTAGGCAATGTCAAACCTTCCATGCGTCACTACGTCAGTTTGCGAGTTTCCTCACACAAAATGACATCCTCCGCTCTCCAGTACACCGGTTCTCCGCCAACTGATAAGCAGCTACAGTGCCTCACCTTTTTTCGCCTCTTGCTCATCATCTACCACTTAGCCCGACTAACTTGTCGAAGTTTCGGCACCTGCTACAGCAATGGATATGAAAAAGAAGAAGCGGAAGGTCCTCCTCATGGGCAAAAGCGGCTCGGGAAAGTCCTCCATGCGATCGATAATATTCAGCAACTATGTTGCAAAGGATGTGCGGCGGCTGGGAGCCACAATTGACGTCGAACATAGCCATGTCAAGTTTATCGGTAACTTAACGTTGAATCTATGGGATTGCGGAGGGTAGGTTACGTCGCAACATCCCTCCCGAGTGACCATAGCTAGCTGCTGACACACGCCCGGGATTCTAGACAGGACGCATTTATGGAAACGTACCTTGCTTCCCAGCGAGAGAACATATTCTCTGACGTTGCGGTGCTGGTATATGTGTTTGATATCGAATCCCGTGAAGTCGAACGGGACCTGGACACTTACAGCGCCATCATCGGTGCCCTCCAAGAGTTCAGTCCGAACGCCTACGTCTTCTGCCTCATACACAAGCTCGATTTAATCCAGACCGAGCACCGAAGACGAATATGCGAAGAACGATCGGCTTTGATTCGCGCGCGATCTGGCTCATTTTCCATTGATACCTTCGGCAGCAGTATTTGGGACCAGTCGTTGTACAAAGCTTGGGCGGGGATCGTACATAAGCTTATCCCCAACCTCACCGTGATAGAGAGATTCTTGCATGCCTTTGCAGCGAAAATCGATGCCGAAGAGGTGGTTCTGTTTGAAAGATCGACCTTTTTAACCATCACCTCTGTCACGTCCGAGGTGGGCAAGTTAAACCCTATCTACGATCGCCACGAGCGGCTGTCCAACATCATGAAGGCATTCAAACACTGCGCTGCGAGGAATACACATACCACCCCTGCGTCAGCAAGTTTCCTGGTCATGCACACGAAGACTCCACAGTTTAACGTGTTCCTCGGCTTGTTCACGGACAACACGTACATTCTTGTTGTGATACCACCTGGGGAAGCAGCGTACAACTGTGCAGTTATGAACACTATGCTGGCTCGCGAAGGTTTTGCCAAAGGTTCGTCAGGAGGCAGCACTGACGGGTTCCCACTTTCATATTCTGATACTCCGGGGAGTGTACCGAATGGACACCAGAATGGTCATGGCTGAAAATGCTATCCGGAGAATCCGAATCACGCCACACCGTATAAATATGCGCGGGACGAACCTATTATATATACTCCGTACGCCACCCTTCAACTTCCAACAGCTTCCACTGTTGTTCTACTTCTACACCTAGTTAATCGCTCTTACCTCATTGGCTATCCTTCTCCATGCTGTGAGAGCTGTTCAAAGATACCCGTTTCTATCTCCCCAGGAACACCGTAAATGCAATGATTTGGTTCCTCTCCATCTTCTCTATGAAGATTATCCCATGTCTTTTTTTCTCTTTCTTTCATAATTAGGGTCAATAGTAGCATTGTATCAGGAGTTAATGTCGAAGACAGATGGATGGAATAGCACCGAATTACGATTGACCACCGAATGAAGCAAGAAATACGCGATTCGAATAAAAAATCCTCTATGTCTCTTAATTCTCCCAACAATAACTTTTCACCCGGACCAGGCTCAACGGCCAAGGTGTCTGTAAACAGGGGGGCTTGAAAAGGCCATTCCTCCACGCATGAGGAATCCTGTCAAGTGAGCCAAGCGCAACGAGGTCGTGGACACCAGCTAAACGAGCTTGGCTAATTATCTTTGCATTCGCTAGTTAGCAAGTTAACTCGCTATTTTCCTGGGCGTTGGAAGGTAATAACCGGGGAAATAAGATCATGCGTAATGTTCCCAATCCATGAGTCGCATGAGTCGGACATTTATCGGGCATATAAGTAAAATCCAGGCCCAATGGAGATTTTCTCCACGTTCGATTAGAAGGCCGCAACACCATCACAGTTGGGTCGGGGAGAATGGCGGAAATGCCCGAGGAAGTAAATGCTAAGCATCACGCCCTACGCCATAGGCCGGTCGATCAATGTGCGAATTGCGTACTCGGCGGAATAAGGTGTCCTTCTAGATGGAAAGGTAAAATTCTGGCTGGAAGTTTCCTGGGGTAACTAAGTTAGCTGTAACTTGTGCAAATTCTGCACTCCAAGCTAAACGGAGCTATGGAAGAGCCTGACGGTGGCGCGGACGATGGATGTCAACGTTGCAATTTTGTTAGGTGTCTCTCCCGGGGCGAACTTCACACGTGATGGTTGTGATGATCGTGTCAACGGCGTTCCCAGCAGTGAGGTAAACGCGGAGAAACCTAACAACTGTCAAGGATGCTATTGTTAGCATATATTGAGAGGGTGACTGCTCATCTTCCTATCCCAGGCTGACAAGCCACGGGAGTACAGAGAGTACTCTGGGCTCGAGCCCGTCAAAATCGCGCAACCCCTCAACTTCCCCAACTCGAAAGCAGGCAGCCAAGAATGTAACCCTGTCGGCCGCCATGCGAAATAGGCCGCCAAAGCTTGCTAGGGAGTTGCCATTCATTTTTTTTCCTGGGGATGCGGAGGTTCCTTCCCTGGGCGAGAGAGCGCATTCTGTTTGGCCACCAACAGGCGTGGTTCGGCTCTTGGCGAGTGCTTCTGTGGTGCGAGGGAGATGAGCTTGGCACGGGGCAAAGCGTGGAGGAGGCGGGCAGAGATACGAGCGATCTCAGCGAGCAAAAGCTGGAGAAGCAGCGCCCATCTGACTTGCAGGGGCTGAAAGGTTTCGCAGGCGGCCATCTTTTTGCGAGGCTTTGTTGCTTTATATCTGTGCTCCCGTATACAAAATTGGGCGCCTTGGTGCTGATATAAATATAGATTTTGACAGCTTAACACGAAGGCAAAGCAGCCTCTTTTTCTGGCCGAGGCTGCTCCCCCACAGCCTCGTAAGCGTGTTTTCAGTGGGCCGTGGCAATAGCCTGTATGCAGTGTCCCACACCACATATAAGCAAGTATACTTACACACGGCAGCGTACGTCGTAATGATAATTTGTTATTTTTGTTGAACAGGAAGTAGCGTGGGAAAGCGTGCATGCTCAGGTATGCAAAGATGCTGGTCGCCATCGCTTAGAATACACCTATTTGATGCCAGGTTTGTTGGCGTAATGGGATGATGGAGTTAGTGGGCGACTGTGACTGGAGGAAGCTTGCGCCCTTATGTTGACACCGAAAGGATCCATGATGTCAGTCTGGAGAAAAAGTGAAGCATTCCTAGCATCACTGCACTAGCACGGCTCCTCGAAATTGCCTTTATCAAGCCCTCCGCCCTTCAGCTTTGATTTTGAAAGGCAGGCTATCGATCACTGTGAAAAACGATGAGATTGCCAAGCACAGCTAGGTGTGTTTCCCCCTGGCACCCAAGCAACCAAGTCTCTAGGCGACGCTGGGGAGAGGCCTTGTCAGAAGACGGAAATATGATACTTTTTTTGGAGAGATCTCCCAAGGGCCGACGATAACAAGTCAAGAAACATCCTCCATCCTGGTTCCATGACGGTAACTCGCGGCGTTAACTCAGGTTCAACACAGGTCAGGACGAAAATGCGGTCCTCTGCCGCAAGAGTTAAAAGGGCTGTTTTGCCAGTGGAGATTCGCTATAACGACGGCTGCAGTCCTGCAACTAAAGCGTTCATCCTTCCTTTAAATGTAGAATACCGTGACCTTGCAGCGCTAGTTAGCCAACTAGTTCGGATACTGCACCCATGCGGAGAATTTTTCTAAATCCTTCTCTATATTATGTCCAACCGGACTTGACTGGCTGTGGTTACTCCATATCGAGCTCTAGAAAGAATAATTTTATGTTAGCTCAACGTAAGATTCGATTTGCTTTGCGCATCAACAGGGACCTGGATAGTAGATAAAACATCTTGCACGCAGAACCGGGTGGAGAGCGGTTGGGATTAATGGCCTTCGGTAACGCTCCCCGACAGGAGGAAGTTTGGCCGTCTCATACAGGCTGCTGTCTCACCCCACGGGACCAGATCATCATCCGGTATCTCTTATCTTTCGGCATGTCCTCCGCGTGCTGTTTGCCTTTATCTCTCTCTCTCTCTCTCTATGCCCGCGTTGCTCCGTAGTGGTGGTGATGATGATGATGGTCAATTGATGTTGATCCTCAAGGGGCCTGTCTGTCACATGACCCATCCACGGCCAAAAGCCACTTTTGCTTCTTCTTCCTCGAGCGAACAACCATCAACGAAACGAACGTCAAGCTCGTATTCACGATGTCCACAGGCGTCCTCCGCTACGGAAAGATACTCTTGTTTAGTTAATAGAACAACTCTGGAAGCTTTCCTTTTTCTCTCTCCCGTCCGTGAAGCCTAAGTAAGGCGCGCTCGCCCGCCTTCAAGCTTTGCACCCTTTGATCCTCAGGCTGAGTCGCCCCCCGCCTCCGTCGTTAGTTATGCTAAGTTCATGGGGGGCGCAACCAAGCATTCATTCGACGCCATCAATGCTTTGAACAATGACGAACACGAGTACGCTGTATGATGGGATAACAAATGTTTGCTGGCGGGAGTGCGTGAGAGGAGAACATGAGAGAGACACCTCGAGACTCGGCTTGGATGCATCTTCCCAGTGCCCGAGTGGCTGTCACTGCCAGACTCCAGACAGGGACCCCATGCCTCTTATCTTACAACCCCGGACGACAGGGGTCTTAACATTACTTAGGCTGCAATCTCCATCAAACTTCATGCTTTAGCGCATATAATAGCGATACACTATATGGCTGTCCCGAACGCTTGCATCAGAGACGGCCCGTTTGATAGGTTGGGTGATTTGCTGGAGTCTCATTACGGAGTAACTCGCACTCACGCTCACGCTGGCCAGCACCGGTTTCTCCCCGGGGCCGCACCAATAGGATCCAAGGGTGCTAATACCACATGCGCCCAAACCATATCCGGGAGGGAACACACTATTTCGGGACGGTGTCGGAGTACTTGACCCAGACTTGGAGATGGCGTTAAGTCGGAGTCTCTCCCTCTCATGCAACCCCAGGATGGTTAAACGGGAGTCGAGAGGGTCCTTGCCCACTTTTCTTTTTGCATTTTTTTCTCTCTTTTCTCGCGTTTTTGCACATTAACCTATGTTTACGTTTACTCCCGGGTGGTTGATATAAATACTTCCCTTTGCGCCCGCTGGGTTCCCAGGCGGCTGCTTTCTCCCTCTTCCCGACCTTGCCCTCTCTCGCCTCAAGACTGACGGTGTTGAAGCTCCCTCAAGCCGCACCGTATCCCAACAGCCTCAAGAGAGACTTTGTTCGGCGTGTCGGACTAGTTACCTCATAGTCTTCAGTCTCGCCGTCCCTGGCCTTGTCAATCGCCCACCATGGCGACCTGGGAACAGAAAGATGGCCCTCTCAGCGAGACAATGCAGACGAAGGAAGAGTTTTCAGACCAGACTGGCGAGATACAGTATGAGAGCGATCCAAATACCAGCTTGCACCGTGGGCTGAAATCCCGGCATATTACTATGATTGGTAAGCTCAGGCATATATTCAGCTTGCATCTTTGACGGTATTACTAACTGCTGGATAATAGCTATTGGTGGTGCTATTGGTACTGGTTTAATTATTGGTACTGGAGCTGCTCTGGCAAAGGCTGGTGTAAGTTGAATTTCCGTGTTCAGCCACGAGTTTCCACTGCAAAGCGCTAATGCATTAACCTTCAGCCCGGTTCCGTCTTCATTTCTTATCTCATCGTCGGTTTCGTCGTCTGGATTGTTATGAGCGCCCTTGGTGAGATGGCCGCATGGTTACCCCTTGCCAGTGGATTCACCGGATATGCTGTTAGATTTTGCGACCCTGCTCTCGGTTTTGCTTTGGGCTACAGGTTAGTTAACTATCTTCATGAATGGGCTTTTACTACTCTCGATTATTTTTGCTAACTGATCATGATAATAGTTACTACTGCAAGTATATTATCATCACGCCGAATCAGTTAACTGCAGCAGCCCTGGTTATACAGTACTGGGTTAAGCGCGAAACAATTAACCCGGGAGTATGGATCACCATTTTCCTGATCGTCATTGTCGCCATCAACTACTTCGGCATCAAATTCTTCGGCGAGTTTGAGTTCTGGCTCTCCTCGTTCAAGGTCATCATCATTCTTGGAATTATGCTCTTGACCTTCATTCTTGCCCTTGGAGGTGGTCCCGATCATGACAGGAAAGGATTCCGATACTGGAAGGACCCTGGCGCGTTTAACTCCTACATTAGCACAGGATCAGCCGGCCGATTCCTTGCTTTCTGGTCGACCATGGTTCAAGCTACCTTCGCTTACCTCGGAACTGAGCTTGTTGGCGTAACTGTTGGAGAAGCCCAGAATCCTCGAAAGACTATCCCCCGTGCTATCAAGCTTACTTTCTACCGAATCCTCTTCTTCTACTGTCTCAGTATTCTCTTCCTTGGAATGGTTGTGCCATACAACCACCCAGACCTCCTTTTCGCAAACAAGGCTTCCAACAGCGCCAGTGCCTCACCTTTCGTCGTCGCTATTCAGATCGCTGGAATCAAGGTTCTGCCATCCATCTTCAACGGCTGTATCCTAGTTTTCGTCTTTTCTGCGGCAAACTCTGATCTTTACATTGCAACCCGAACCATCTACGGTCTAGCTCGTGAGGGAAAAGCCCCTGCTATCCTTGCCAGAACCAATCGCAGCGGTGTCCCTATCTACTCGCTCGCACTTTCCACCATGTTTGCCCTGCTCGCATACCTGAACGTCTCCGACGACTCCAAGGTAGTGTTCGGCTACTTTGTCAACATGGTTACCATGTTCGGTCTTCTCTCCTGGATCTCCATTCTGGTAACGCACATCTACTTCGTGCGCGCCCGCAAGGCCCAGAACGTTCCAGAGACCTCACTTGCCTTTAAGGCGCCATTGGGTGTTCCTGGATCTTATGGTGCCCTTGCCTTCTGCATTCTCATTGGTCTCACTAAGAGTTTCAACGTCTTCGTTCACAGCCCCAAGACATATGGAAACTTCGACTACAAGAACTTCATCACCTCCTACCTCGGTATCCCCGTTTACCTCATCCTTCTCTTCGGATACAAGTTCTACACCAAGTCACCTGGAGTCAAGGCCGCCGAGGCTGACCTCTGGAGTGGAAAGGATGAGATCGACCGTGAGGAGGCTGAGTTCCTCGCCCAGGAGGCCGTCAGGAGAGAGAAGCAAGGCGATGCCGGCTGGTTCTACAGGACATTCGTATCCTGGCTATTCTAGGTACCATGTTTACGACATAGCATTGATTTTTATTTCTCATGAATTCACAAATATCGTTCATGACTTTCTTCTTTTTTTTTTTTTGAGTGGATCTGTACGGAGTATATAAGATAATGAAAGCCATATCTCTCTCAAACTTGTCTGTATACTCCGTAACTCCTCCTTCCGTAGCTATTCAGGCAGCGACTTGTCTCGTCTTCTCGCTTCCTCAGGTCCGACTCTCGTTTATGCACGGGCGACAGGGTCCCGCGACGGCCGACTGATCTATCACCAGCAAAAAGAAAAAGGCCCCAATCCCGCATTTTCCCATCGCTGTGATTGGCATGTAACTATATACATGCAGAAAACAAAAGTGCAGGAAATAAGTAAAGATGGCTGGTTGGTGATTCGCTAACTCGCTGGCTTCTTTATTTAGCGCTGGTGATGCTCGCCCCTCGCTCCTGCAGAAGTTCCAAGCCTTTCTTTATCAGCCAACTAGTTACCAACAACTCGCGACAGGGGGAAATCCTCAACCTCACGACCACACACAAGACACTGTCTATCCTGTTGACAGCCTCGCAGACCTGTCAATTCACAGCAATGATACTTCTCTGGCCTTTTTAGCGCTCTCGTTAGTTGTTTTCTGCGTTGTCCTTCGCGTCGAACGTTTGTTTTGGAGCGCCTTGTCTTCTCCCTCAACGGTATTTTGATATCGACGTCCACATCGTAACCGCTGACGTCTTGCATGGCGGGGTCCTGATTTCCATTCCAACTGGATACTGTCAGGTATATATTATGTCGTCGTACCTGCGTCTGATTGACATTCATTTACAATTTTTCTTCTGGCAAAGCTAACGTTTAAAGTAGTGGTTACATGTGCATCACTTGGTTTACCGGTTCCCGCTGATACCACAATGGACAAGCAACGAAAGAAGTCCGGAGAAGAGCTTAATCGGATAATTGAAGACATAAACATTGGTTTTGACCTCGATTTAATGCCTACACAATCATGTTCTTCCTCTCAAGAGCGTACTGATGAACAGCAATGTGCCAAATATATTGACTACCTATACTGGAATGGCGCTCTCGAAAAGGTCATACCTATGTTATCTGAGTTGGATAGAGACGAATTTCCCGATCGTCAAAGTAATGAAAAAAGCTTGCGTGATTATTTCGCGCACCCGCTTTCATCTACTGCGCTACGGCTTGGATTCGACAAGCGTGTGAGACTACGTTCTGAGAAAGAAAAGGCCCAAGTTTACAAATTTTGGCGCGAAAAGCTATACGATGAGACCTGGATTGTGAAGGAATCATTGGCTAACAACACATCTCCTGCACGAAAGCCCGTCCTTGAGGCAACGCCAACTGTTATTACTCTAGGTGAATGCACGCCCGAAACAAACACCAACAAATCAGCTAAGCGGAAGAACAATAACAATCCTGAGGTATTTTGCACTGCGCCTTCATCCCCAATTTCTGATTTTGATGCATATTCCTCATCCGATGTTTGCGAGGATGGCTACGGTTCTGATACCTACACGCTCTCCGATTACGATAAGTTTGATGGGTTTGATTTTGATTTTGCTGTAGAAGCTTTGACTGATATTGATGGTGAGAATCCAGACTCCCTCTAAGAGGCGCAAGCAGCTAAAACTTGGAGATTGTGGAATTACTGCCAGCGCACCCCCGACAATGCCCGCGCTGTTTATGACGCCGCCTCGAAATGATAAGTTGCAGACCAAAATAAACAATGGGATGATAGTGAAGAAAAGTCCTAGCCACACCCCGCGTCTGGAGCTGTCTAGATCGAAGAGCATTTCGTTCAATAGTTGTACCAGCCGTAGTACAAGCTGTTCTTCGAAGACTGTACCTACGGTCCCAAATTCTCGCAATACCACCCCTTCGACCTCTTTTGCAAACAGCAAGTTTGAATTATCAGCCGAGCCATACCCGGTCACAAGTATCTCGCTCGGTGTTACCGACTCACAAAAAGACAAGTTCAATATAGTAATTTCGGACTTGGTGGAAAATGGCCCGTTTTCTAAAAAAACCGCATGGTTCAAAGCTATTCCACTAAGGTTTCGATATGAAGTTGAACGTTTGGCACGGGCATGTGATATCTCTCCCGAGACCATACTCTCGGAAGATGTGCTTCTTAAAACCCAATCTTACGAAGCACTTCTTGAACTTATGAGCCGTAGACCATACAAGAACAAGATTGAAAAGTCTAAAACGAGTGTTTGGAGAATGGCAGTCGAAAATTATACCGACTCAGATAGTGGAACCATGGTCGTTTTGAGTGGCCAGCTGGAGTGGAAAAATGAACAATTCACACTTGTCCTGAACCCACTAAAGGTTGATAAAAGCCACAGATTTGCTCGAAGATTCGGGGCAGACAGATTTCTGGAAATATTGCTACCCACGGAGCATCCCAAGAAAACTGGACTTGATGCAGAAATTTACAGTAAGGCTTTAGCCATATGGCTTTGCGCAAAGGATCACCATCTATTTGGCCGTAGATGGCGCGCATTCTACCAGGAGGACCTTAAGTCAAAATCGAAGACAACATCTTCTAGTGGCTCGGACCGCAAAGTGTCCCTATTTGCAGTTGACGGTGATGATTTCCTTAAGATTCCCCCAACGGTTTCGTCAATGAACGAGACGTCCGGAAAACATACGCCGATGATAATTAAGCAGCTGGTTGATTGGCACATTCGCTATGATAGGAACACACACCAGGAATACTCTAAATTGTTCGCTAGAATCCGCCTAGGACTCTCTAGGACCATACCGACCATCACACTCGAGCCAGAGGAGTTCATTTATGACAATGATCCAAGGCAAGAGCAAATGAGCGACGGGTGTGCCATGATGTCGCGCTCATTAGGGCGAGCTATTGCGGATTCCATGCGTCTTCCAAAGGTTCCAGCATGTTTCCAAGGTAGAATTGCTGGAGCTAAGGGGGTATGGGTAGTTGCCAAAGATGACCAAGACATTCACGTGAAGGGAGTCCAAGATTTCGAGACCAAAAGGGGGTATTGGTTGGTTATAAATGCGTCCCAACTGAAAGTCCAGCCTCCGCCTTGTGATACCAGAGTGATGCTAGATAAGCACCAATTGACTTTCGACGTTTCTTCCTACTCCCAGAATCTCCAGCCGGCGCTTTTAAACCCACAGTTTTTTATGGTACTGCAAGACAGGGGTATCAAAAAGGAGTAATGCGTTCTCTTATCCAAGAGGAGGCGGATGAACATTACAAGAAATTGATCCAAATCTTATTAAACGGAGATTCTGCAGCTTGCCGAGCTTGGGCCCAGCAAGTGAGAGACTCGTCCTCTCATGTTACGGCCCTGAATGACACCGCGTTCCCTCAAAGTACCATTAGACGGGTGAACATGCTTCTTGATGCCGGTTATCTGCCCTCAAAACTGTTATTCGTATGGGAACTCTTCAAACAACATTTTATAGATGGCTTTGTCAAACGGTTAGACGCCATCAAAATAAAAATCTCCAAGTCGACATACGCATATTGCATACCCGACCACTATGGAGTGCTTGAAGAAGGCGAGATTTACCTAGATTTTGGAGATACCTGGGAAGACGGCACCACTGACTTGGATGGTATCGATGTGTTGGTTAGTCGAGCGCCTGCTCATTTTCCTAGTGACGTCCAGAAATGTCGAGCTGTCTATCGCCCCGAGCTAAGACACTTGAAGAACGTGGCTATCTTCTCCACCAAAGGAAAGGTTCCCCTTGCTTCTCTACTCTCCGGCGGCGATTATGATGGCGATCAAGTTTGGGTTTGCTGGGAGCCGGAAATTGTCAAACCCTTCGTCAACTATCCCATGCCGGACATTCCAAAACCCGAGGAATATGGCCTGGTAAAAGTATCTCAGCGCATCAGGGATATGCCATTCGACGATTTCATGGAAAATTCTTTCCTGTTTAACATGTGGCAGAACCCACTTGGCTTGTGCACCTTCAAGCATGAGAAGTATTGCTACCATACGGGTGGCATTGGGTCCTATCTAGCAATACATTTCTCTGGTCTGCTTAGCCATCTTGCTGATATACGGAAGTTAGGGTACATATATCCGGAAGAAAACATGCAAAAATACCGCAGCAGCCTGGGTCCTCCAACTCCAGATCTTCCAGCTTATAAAGACGACAAGAAAGCTGAACAGGACAACAAGAAGCGTGAACCGAAGATGGATAACATCCTTGACTTCCTGAAATTTTCTGTAATTAAAGATGTTCAAAATAACATTTACGCTCGCCTAGATAAGGACTGCCCTCCGAAAACTATCGACAAGGTTGATGGAGATCTCACAGCAATCTGGAAAACAGTTTGGGACCGCGCAACTGCTGAAAAGAACGCTGGGCGCCCTAATTTACTGATTGCTATCCAAGGCACCCAAGCTTCTCAAGGTATCAAAGGTTTCCGGGAGCAGATTGAGAAAGCCTTTAATAACTATAAGGAATTGCCTGATAAAATGTCCTACGGAGCCAAAGTTACCTTTGCTGCCGAGTCCTTAATGGCTATTCAGCCTCCTGATATCGACCATCCTCTTTGTGCTGCCTGGAAAGAGTCAGCTTACGAATGGAGGAACATACTGGCATCATGTGCGTACTCCGACCACCCAGGCTGGTTTGTATGGCATGCCGCCTTCAAGAACCTTTGCGATATGAAGGCTCGAGCTGTTGGCGACTGGTACAGCGTTACGGCGCCCATTTACCATCGGCTGGCTATGAACAAGTCAATGATGAAGAAAATCGAGACAGAGCGTCATAAGGCAGAGACAGAGGAAGAGCTATTGCTCCTGAGATCCTTCGAGGAACAAGAGATTCTTGACAACGATAGTGACGATGACGATGATTTGTTTTCAGTTGCATAATCTTGATTTTGGATACCTGACTTTTTCACATTCTTCTTCTTTTACACCTTTTTTCTATGTTGCGCGAGATACCCTTATTTCCTTTTCCTTCCCTACGAGCGCAACATACCCTTCAGCAAGCGAACATCTGACAAATGATTATTTTGATAGACAAAAGGATAGAGTGTTGGAGTACAAGTACCTGAGTACTATCTGCGTTTTTCTGGTTCTTTCATGTGAAACCCACTGGCCCCCTCGATACGCTACGAGTTAGCCGTGATGAAACCTTGACAGTTTGGTTTGTTGGGATTATCGACTTTTTATCTTGTTCCGTTCTAGGCCACGGAGTTCCATGACTTGTACCATGTACGATTATTCATATGCCTAATGGTTATCTAAGGCAAAGGTGTTACTGGGTTTATCCATGCGTGCTGTTTGATGAGATGGAGTGCCCGGTTCCGATCACGATACCCCACGAACTATGCGTCTTTCATGTTCGATTAGGTTTTTCTAGAATCCGATGCAGTGTTTGACGCTTACGCTTCATCCCCAGACGTGGTCGCATCCTTCTGCCTGTAGAAGTACCTGTAGAAGTACCTGTACTTAGTCCGCCTTGTCCCAGCGCAGCGCGACTCGTTAGTTAACCCGTCTTCCCCGTTGGTGTTTTACGTAAATGACAAACCACGTGTTTTGCGATGAGCTGGTCTCGTCTCAATACGAGGATATGTGACGGATCAACTCTGGCATCTAGTATCGGAAGAGCAAGTGTTGACAGTCAAGCTGCAGCAAACACATGAGATATCAGGCCATGTTTCCATCTAGTTTGCCTTATCGCGGCTCTCCTTCTATCTCTCTATCGCTTCCCTTTCGACCGCGCGGAAGTCCTTATCGCCCTTATCGTTATCTGATTAGATAAACATCAAATCAAAAGTCTTGGCAGGCGCGACTTGATACCTTCCCAATACGGAAACAGGGCGCTTCCCGTCCCCCACGAATCAGCGAGCAGCAAACCATGACTAATCCAAAATCACATGCTTCACCCCAAACAGTCACATGTCACGAGCTTCTTTTTTCCCTTTTTTCCCTTTTTTTGGCTGTTTTTTCGTTGTTTTTTTCGTCTTTTAATGCGAAGTTTCAAGGCGAGAGAAGGAAGAGTTTTTTCTATAGAAGTTTCCGGCCTTTAGATCCGACGTGCTCGCTGAATTGCGCTCCGTGGATGGCGCTTCCCGTGTGATTGGCATCTGATTGGCATCTAAAGTAGTGACATTGCTGTGTCGACGATGAGCTCACTGGTCGACTAAAGCAACTAACTGCCTAGGGTTGTGGATACCCGCCTCGAGGCTGAGCTTCTTTTTTTCTTCTCTTTTATCACACGCAGGTTGTCCCCCAACCCTTGAAACTCCGCCCAGCAAGCTCGAGGCCTCCTTCTTCCGCCTCCTCTTCTCTTCTCTGCCCTCTCGTCCTGTGCCATCACTCGTCCTTGGTCGTGGGAAGCCAGATATCTACAACGACAACGCCCGTCAAAGCCTGTCGAAAGCGCTGAGACTCGTGCTAATATAACTAGATCACCCCCCCGACGCCAAGAACAAACTACCCGTCGTCTTTCACGTGAAACCCGCAAAACCGCAGAGCGACGACGAGCAGGCGAACAGAAAGGCGGTTGTTGTTGTTGCTCTTGTTGAGCGCGGTTGGGACATGACAATGATTCAGGCCTCCCCGCCGAGTAATGCAGGAAGCCAGGCTGCTCTCCAGCAGCTCGAGTCGCAGAATACCCCGTCGGCCCTTCCTGGCTATACGCCACAATCACAGCAGCTGCAGCAGCAGTCACAGGTCATGACCATGACGGACTCTCCTCCTCCCCAATACCATCCTCCCAGCGCGGAGCAGGCAAACTCCAATGACATGGAGGTCGACAGCGTCGGCAGTGACACTCGCTCGAGACGCGGTACCAGTGTCATCTCTATGGACGATATCGAGGCCGCTCAGGCCCTGGAAGGACTACGCTCAGGTACGATGAATCTTCCCATGTCAACCACCCGTTCTTCTTTCCAAAGACCCTTAGCTGACTCGTACTGCGATCAAATAGAATATACACATACTCCTGTCCCGTCAAGGACTCCCAATAATTCCGCCTCTCAAGCTCCGGAATCAACAGAGCCGGAGCCGTTGCTGTCCCTGATCACATCACACCCGTTGCTATCTTCCGCCATTAATAGTTCCATGTCGGTCTACACATCATCCAAAACATACTCTCCCAAGTTTAAATACGGAGCCGAGTTCATTGAGCGGAACATTGGCCCCCAAGTCCTGAACACCGTGGGCTCGGTTGGCAGACGGACCGGGGTTGAAGGTGGCCTCCGCTGGGCCCTCCAGCGAAGAGAGAGCGTTAACAACAGTTCTAAACCCAATGCCAATTCCAGCTCCGGCAGCAGCAATAATCAAGCTGTTGAGACTGCAGATATTGAGAAAGGCATGCACGATCTCCGGACTAGCCATTCAAGACGGTCATCAACCCTTTCGTCCGAACCCCTACCACCTTATGATAATGTTTCTTCCCCGAAATATGATGAACTGTACAAGGGAAATCAACAGCCCCAGCAGCAGTCTCAGACACAGTACTCCTGGCAAAACCGACTCATGATATCCACCTCGGGTCTCGGAGTAGCGATGAGCGAAGAGTCGCTGAGAAGCCTGACATATTGTCTCACCTGGCTGCAGTGGGCAAATACACGAATTGGGACGTCCGTGGGCAGTCTGAAGGAAGCTCTCAGAGAATGGGACTCTACCAACCAGTCGAATACGGAAAACAAGGCGAGTGAAGAAGGTACCCAGCAGCAGAGTCCAGCTGTACTCTCACAGCAAATCCAGCAGGTTAAAGGAGACGTCCTGCAGACGCTAAAAATGGTTGTCGACGTTGTGTCCAAGTACGCTGGCGGAGCCCTGCCAGAGAACGCCCGCAACCTCGTCCGAAGGCACCTCACATCCCTCCCCCAGCGGTTCCGTATCGCGTTCAACTCCAACGTACCCGCAGACGGCTCTGCACCTGAATCCGAAATGAGAACCAGAGCTTTCCGCGTCCTTGTACTGGCTGAAGAAGGCCTTGATATGATGGGCCAAGTCAGCAAGGTCGTAAATGATACCTTGGTCAGCGCCGAAAACTGGTGTGATACACTCCGACGACCGAAGCCATCCGCCAGTATTAACAACAACAATACCAACACCAACACCCAAAATATGCCACAGCCTCCTCCTTTTGAAGGTGACTTGGACCGCAAGGTTCCTATTCCCATGCCAGCTCAACGGGAAGACGTGGAGATGGACGGATGAAAAGAGAAAAATAATTTACTTGTCTCTCCTGAGATAATCTAATGCCCCTATATATACGGCCACCATCTGTCTCGTTCCTCGTCTTCTGAATGCGTCTGTAGTCCCTTTGAGCCTCTCATCTGCTGTGTTTTTTCCTGTTTCTTTCTTTATACCCCCTTATTGTTCCAAAACTTGAAAGGCCATGGGCCAAACATCTCCTTTTCTCTTCATACTATCGTCCTCTTACGGTCTTTGCACTACTATCTCACTGTATTCTGGCTGTTAAATATGCTACTATCGTGTTCTAACTGGGCGTTTTTCCTTGGGAGTCGGATATGCTGAAAATTCGTTCTTTAGTAGACTCATAAACTGTTTAGGACTCTGTTCAGTCGTATTCTAATAAATGGCCTTGTCTTTAAGCTGTTCTTGCCCCTTGTAGGAGGTGCTTAGTCTCTCGTTCCGTTTTACTAGACATAATAACACTAACTACAACCTCCTTGTGTATAGCCTTGCCTAGACATATGACTACTATAGAGAAGAAGTATAGCAGATATAGGAAGAATATATCCTGTCTTCAAGCCAACAACTACTTTACCTATTTACTAGTTACATCCCTGGATGGACAAGTCATTCTACAAACTACGAGGTCTTACAGTATCTACGATGGCTACGAGGAGATAGAAGGTAGAAACGACAACGAACTTTAGTATTTTTTGTTTTGTACATGATCGCGAACATAACAGGCATACAGGCAAACGTACATGCAGACAAACATACAAGCAACCAGACAGTAAAAGCAGATTCTTTTTTTTTGGAGGTTTTTTGTTTTAATGATTTTTTTTTTTTGAACAGAAAGCAAGACGCAAGACACAAGACGCAAGAAGCAACCCCTTAGGTCCGCTTCTTTTTCTTTTGGACCTTCTTCTTTTTGCGCCCTTTGGTGATGTTTCCGCGCGATGCGGCGGTTTGCTGCCCTTGACCCTGGGCGAAGGGGTTGTGCGCCGGCACAGGACGAAGGGCCCTCCAGAAGCCCAGTGGCATCTGGAGGGAGAAGCCCCTGGTGGTGTTGTGCACCACGACGCGGTTGATGGACCTCATGGTGAGGATCACACGGCGGACATTACCCCAGCCGTTGTTGTTGTTGTTGTTAGTAGCAGGCATTTTGGATGCTATGGGGTTAATTCAGTGATTGGTATGCAGCTGGGGGGAGAATAGGGGGAGGAGTAGAAGATACTAACCCTGCTGTGGTTGTTTTTTATTTATATAAATATAAATATATGTCCTTTGGTAGGACAGCGAGGGACGACGGTCGAAGTGGTGTTTGCAAGAAACGAGGTGAAGTCGTCTCTTTGGTCGTTTCTTCTCGGTGGACGGTCGTGGTTTGCGTGATGGTAAGATGGAAAGAGGAGAAGGAGGAATCCGATTGAGCAGGGGGTTTTTATAGACGAATTCATCGCCACGGATGCCATCATCACCTCGTCGTCGTCATGAGCATACCGTGGTTGAGAAGATGCTGAAGTTGACGTCGTGATGTCACCGTCGAAGGAGGTACATGCTGGCTGTCGATGTTGAGCTTCAGACCTTGGGTATCAGTGCTCTTAAACAGCCCCTGAACGAGCTCAAAACGGGCCAAAATCACCACCACAAGATAGCTGAGGAAAAGACGGACTTCGCAGCCTGTTTTTTCAGCTCAGAATAGCCCATTTTGGCAGAGATATCGTCCTTGATACGGTGGAGAAGGTGCGAGGGCAGCGACAGCCAGGAGGTATCTTTCTCTATTTAGCATTCCAGTAAATGACGTTACAGGCAAGGACGACCGTTGCCAGCATAGCATCATCGACTCTGCAAGCGCAGTCATGCGGTAGCAGCGAAGTCTATCTGCCTCTTTCTGTTGGAGTCTACGAGCTCGCCCACCTCGAAGCTGCGAGTGCTGGCTGCTGTCCGGCGTCTGAGCTGTGGCCGTAGGCTCTCATTCACTGCTTGGGCTTTGTTGGCGACGGCAACTTCCTGCGTCACCTACATCACACCCTCGACAGCAACGTCGTCACAGCATCGTCATCGTCATCGTCTTACCTCTCCGGGCAGGATCACCTTAGGGCATCGAGCAGCGTCAGCATGGGCAGTACCAACCTTTTCGTGCTTGTCAGGCGTGTGTCGACGTCATTACAAACTGGCACTGGGATAGGGCGGCGTGATGTCCAGTCACAGTCACCGTCACAGTCACAGGCAGAGCAGGAAGAGTATCTCGCCTATGCCCTCTTTATGGCCGACTTCGTCCTCCTCCTAGCGGCAGCAGTATACGTTGTGCTCGTCGTAGTCATTTGCTGGAAGTATATTTTCGCGGCGGTGACGATGATAGGACGGAGCAGTGTTTCAAGATGTCGGCGAGCAGTAGGCCAGGTAGCTGGACGGCACAGACATGGACACAATAGACACGGCAGACGGAGGGGGATAGACGTTGAAGCATATGAAGGGTGCTATACACCCGAAGAACTGGAATTAGAAGACGACGGTGGCCGCGAGGATGACAACGATGATGAAGGTATATTCCTACTACCTTACGTACAACGCTGCTCGATAACTCAGCAGCCAGAAAATGATCTGGCGGAATTAGCACACCAACCTCCTCTTGACGATATTCGCCACTCCTTGGACAACATAGACGGCATGGATTCACTTGGTATTTCTAAATACTTTGATCCTACCACTGGGAAACTAAGACTTGATATCGTGCACCCTACTCAAACGGCGTTGGATAGGATGCTTGGGGAAAAGAAAGAAGGACACAAAAGCATCGCTTGGTATAAAGCGCTCCAAAGATTTTCAGACAATTTTATTCTGAAAGCTCAGGCATGGCTTGACAAAGAGGATGAGAACGATGGTAGGAGTAAACATGGAGAGGCGTCTGTGCTGTGCGATGAGGAGAGCAACAAAGCAGTCCGGCGCATATTACGCGAGCGGGCCGGGAATGGGGGATATGAAGACGCGGAGGACAATATGTATTAATTTCCATTCGGATAAGCCATAATCCAGGCAAATTTATACATATTTTCGCGACTTCGTAGGATATCAAAAACTCACCAAAACACGAGATGTCGTTCCTACAGTTTCCTTTTTATACCCGCAGGAAATCCACCAATGACTAAGCGCGCCTCTCAGCAACCGCGGTTGTGATCGACAAACGGCGCTTGTAAATGACCTTATTGATTAGCCACATAGCAATTAAACAACATCAAACGACATAAAATGATATCAAACATTATGTTAAGCCATGGGTTCCGGAATATCAAATTGGATATGGCAAAGGAGTCGTCGCCGCTGGCGTCTATCACTAGCAGTTAGTTATCAGGTCAGACTTTGTGAGGCACAAAGTGGTTTCATCAACTGGCCACCGAGTCAGTCGTAGGCGTAATAGTTACCACTAACCAGTCGACTGGTTGATGCGCAACTCTTACGTCTATGGTGTTCAATCTCTTTCCATCTAAGAAAATAGTTGAGCAGGAATAGCCTGCCAATCACGCCTTCCCTCAGTATGGGCCGAGGAAGATTCCATGAAGCTCCTATGTATTGTATGAGAAGTAGATTGAAGCTTGTCTCTTCTCCATGGGCCTTATTGATATACTCTCGCTCCCTAATTTTCATGGCTCTCGAGGCATAAACCCTTTTCTTCCCTTTTCCTGAGATACCCTACGCCTCTGCTGCCGTTCTTTCCGACACCTTAAAGCCTAATATAGACTGTAAACAACAATGTTTATCTCCCGACTCGCCCCAACGCTATGTCTCTTCTTGCTCGGCTCTATCTCCTATGCAAACCCCATCGAGTCTGTGGTCCTCCCGCTAGCTGAGGATGTTCCGATTCCTCCCTCTGATGACCCCTTTTACCAACCTCCTCCGGGATATGAAGACGCTGAGCCGGGGACTATCTTGAGGCGCCGCATACCGCCTTTCCCTATTGCTTTGTTCCGGTCTGTTCCGATCGACCTCGCCGCAACCTACCAGGTCCTTTACCGCTCCTCAGATACTTTTGGTGAACCAACAGCCACTGTTTCGACAATCCTTATTCCTCACAACGCCAACATGTCGAGGGTTTTGTCGTACCAAGTTGTTGAAGATGCAGCATTCGTCAACTGTGCTCCGTCATATGCTCTACAGCTCAACTCTGATCCAGGCGGTCTATTTGGAACGATCATTGTGCAAAGTGAGTTGCTTCTCATAACTGCTGCTCTCGAGAACGGTTGGGTTGTCACTATACCGGACTACGAAGGTTCTATTGCTGCCTTCTTGGCGCATTGGCGTGCTGGTTACGCAACTTTAGACGGGATTAGAGCTACTATTGCGTCTTCTCCATTTACTGGCGTAGACCCAGACGCGGTTATAGGCCTCTGGGGTACGTCTGGAGGGAGTGTTGCGAGTGGCTTCGCTGTAGACTTACATTCCACGTACGCTCCAGAGCTGAAAATTGTTGGAGCAGCGCTGGGTGGCCTAGTTCCGAGTATCACCACAGCTTTGCAAAGTCTTAACGAAGGGTTTGACGCTGGAATAATTGTCTCCGGCGTTATTGGGCTTTCACAGGAATATACCTATATGAAACCCATTTTAAGGTCATACCTCATTCCTGAACTTCGGGATAAATTCATGAGTGCAGGCACAAAATGCTCTGGGGCTATCTCTTTGGATTTCAGACAGGAGGATATATTCAGTTACTTTAGGGGAGGGAAAGAGTCTGGTTTATTTGCTGATCCCAGAGTGAAGGTGATTCTCGATCATAACGCTCTGCCTCAAGGAATACCCAAAGCTCCTGTTCTAATTCTCAAGTCAGTAAACGACGAGATTAGCCCCATAGCCGATACAGATGCCCTAGTAGAGAAGTATTGCTCTGAAGGTGCAACTATTGACTACAAACGAGACTTGCTATCTATACATACCGTCTTGGCCGTTACTGGCGCTCCGGAAGCAATCCTTTGGCTCAGAGACCGTTTTGATGGAGTAGAATTGGAGAAAGGATGCAAGACTTCCACCATCTTTATGACACTGCTTCAACCAGGGGCCCTACAAGTTATGTCCAAAGCTATCATCGATAACTTGCTGGATCTCTTGGGGAAGCCCGTTGGACCAAGGTTGACTACTGAGATTGCGCATATTCCTCCTCTCTAAGGGCCAGGCCGTTTCGTTTTCCTTAGCATGTCACTTACTCCATCCTGTTGATTGTCTGCTTGCTATACGACATTCCACCTACAGCCATTTCCGATAGACTCGTTATCCCTACCGTGATGTCAGAGTAGACACCTTATTAGTTTGTCCTTTGGGTTAAGATTAAAATTCCACTTTTGTTCTTTGCTCTTGGTATTTACGGCCGAATAGAAGTATTTACTGTTTGCTACAACAGCTTATATATCAAACCGGCATAAGTATCTAAACAAATATGTATTCTTACATATCGTTCAGATTCTTGACTATAGCTTTACGTTTGTTTGTGTCCGATATAGTTACCGCCAAACAATACTTTGATTCATGTAGGACTAGACCTCTAAAATTCATAGGCTACAAGGCCATAAATAGCCGTGTACTACCAACATTCTATGTTCTCTGCTCTGTCACTACTAACAGCGTACTTGACTTCGTTCACGATCACAGTTCACAGAATTAATCAGATCCCTCCTGGTCACCCCATCATGGTTGAAACAATGGAAAGTAACCTTGTGCTGCTAGTCTTACTTTCGGTGACACTGATACTCGTCATATTTACGGGCCTTATTGCGATGTACTATGGAATCAAGTGCATCATAGCTCTTACTGGTAACACCAGCGATCGGCGAGAGCAAGGTAAGCTTTAAATCACTAGCTCAGCAGCATATTTTCTGACATTCATAAAGGCGCCATGATACCGCTCAGCAATTTCCCCCCGTCAGGGCCTACACCTGAACAACGACCTTCCCAGATTGGAGGCGAGCATTCCGGAGATACCCCCAAGGACACTAAGGTTAGTACCTGCTGTGGTATTGGTATATTCAAGTTTCCGACTAAAAGAAAACATAGGGCGCGAGTAACGAGCCTCGCAGATCCTCTGTCGGTGGTACCTTGTCGTTGCATCATCCATTACCAGCTCCGCCAGCAGGTGCCATTCGAATCTCGGGCCTTGTCCGACAGGGAACTCCTGCAATCCCGGTTAGGGTATCTGAAGCAAGTGGAAGGGTATCACCCGTCGATTTCACCAGCACAAACCGGATGGCTCGTTGGGTATGATTACGCGAATTGGAGCATGGGGTTTTTGATAGTGTTATTCTTAGAGGACAGTTTTGCAATAGACAGGAAACTTGGTAGGCTGGTCAAGATCGCTCGAGTATAGACTTAGACTTATAGAGCACTCTAAGTAGTATAAGTAGATATGGAAAAGCCGAAATATGAGTAAGTCCGTTATGAAAATGTCAGTTATAGTAAGTCTTCAGGGAGCTTCGTAAAGCTGAAAGGGGTATCTGCTGTGGCAGCGATATGAAAATCCATGCTTATGACCTAAGGAAGTAAAAATGACGCAGATCAGCTAGTTCATTGACTATAGAGGCCCATCCATTTACGAGTAAATGGTGTGTATTCCTCGCCTTACCGTCCTCGCCCTAGTCAGGTGTGAGCAAATGGTATAGCGCCAAAGGGTATGATCGCAAAACGGAAGCCCCGATGAGCTATGTTATTATTGATGTCTAATACTTTTCAAGAGGAAGTTACAATAGTCAACTCGCTCCGGCTTTATTGGGTGGGGTATAAACACAGAAGGTCGAGATTGAAACTAACACTGAGTAAGACAGTGGAACATCACTCAGTTCTTCGCCATTTCGCTTCGTCCCCAGTCGTTCCGTTCTCGTTGTTCAAGGTATCGGCCTCATCCATTCCTTCATCATCATCGTCTCGTGGTCTTACGGTACCCGCTCCCGCACCCAAAGGAGCCTCTTCTCCGCCTTTCCAGTTTCCGTCTTCGTCGAAGTACTCGTGAGCATTCTCCGCTGTGATCCAGCCGCCACTTCCAGGTAGAGCTGGAGGTAGGCCACCTGTGTTGTTTCCAGGAAAAATCAGACCATTTTGAAACAAGGCACTACCTTGGAGCTGTTGGTGGAATTCCTCACCTTCGTCCGCATCTTCGTATCTGTCTTCATCATCGTGATCGACAGGATCTGGGTGGAGATTTGAGCAGGCAGATACAGCTTCGAAGAGAGCCTCAATTTGGGACTGAGTCTTTTTATCTTCCTCTTCAGCTGACGTTTCCTGATCGGTAGGTTGGGCGGAAGGAGTAGGCAGAGGAATGATTGTAAGCGAAATGCTATCCTCGTCCACATCCTCGTCCATATTCTCGTCTCCTCCGCTAGTGGTAGCCAGCTGCATGTAAAGGCCTTGCACCGAATCGTTATCGGAGGAATTGGGCAAGGGAAGTCGTTGGATCGCATGTAAAGATATTAATGGGTATGGGATCGCGACACCGCTGGATGTCTCACTAGAAAACAATAGTAGTTTCCTGCCGGAAGTTAGTATAGCTACCACAATGTAGTTAGGAGTAGAGATCCATTAGCATAATAAACAACATACTCAGAAGTAACCCAGACACTGACTCCCTGGAATGATATCTCCTTGTCATCTACCATTGCCTCATCCTCTGCTGTACCAACAGCGGCACCGCGTACTCCCTCCGTCGCGCCATTCGAAGCATCCGTAGAAGCAGACGACCGTAGATTATTCAAAGCGGGAGACGCCAATAAGTCACGCTCGAGGATGACGACTTTACATCTTTCGCTGAAGTGGTGTAGAATTGGCGGCCCAGAGTAGAACGAGGCAGGCGTTCGCGACTGATGTTCCGCAAGAGGTATGAATGAGGAGGTATTCGGTGCTTCGCGGAGGACTTCCATTGTAATAATGAACTGTAGTTTCAGTATTGGCACTTGCTCGCCCGAATGGTCAATTGGAAGAGTGTCTTTTGTTTGTTTTGGAGGCTGAGGGAGGCTTGTTGAAAGACGTTGAGGGGGCTTGGTGGAGTAAGAAAAAAATGATAACAATGATAAGATCAAACCTTGTTCCAACGTCATCTCTTAAACTAACTACTTGCTGCCAATCACCAGGGAATTTAATTATGTGTAAAGTGATTGAATAGGATAGGATTCCATAAGGGAAATACATCATAGATCTGGTCTCCACAACTTTTACTAAAAAAATTGAGAAGTCAGGTACATGCAAACGACTTTAGTTTCCCTCATCGACAAGAACAATTGCCCGCGACCAAACCTTCCCCTTGTCATAATTTTCTGCGTTCTCGTTTCCAAAGGCAACAACTGCAGGCTGAATGATAGCCAATACTTCTTTGCCATCCAATCTGCTATCGTCTTCATCGAGGTGATGAAGACGGTGAGCAACCATCAACTGGCATTTTTGGGAAAATTGCTTCGGTTTACTTAGCGTGATAAGGCGGCAGCCCATGGTGGTTCGCTGACACCATAACGACAAAGATAACTCTGCGGCAGCGCTGAACACGTGGCACAGATCCTGGAGCATGCAATTACCTTGCTGTGCTGAAGATTGGTCTATCTTTAAAAGCAAACGTACGGGTCCCCTGAGGAATTTTTCAGCCATCGTGGAACTGAACATCTGGAGTGCTTGCGGCGTCAGCAATGGCAATTCAGACGGACTAGCAGGAGTCGTTAACAAAAGACGCAACATCTGAGAGCGCCATATGTGCGCCTCAGACGGAAGCACTATATCAAAATTAGTTTTTCCTTGCACCTCAGAAATGTGGTAGGTATGGCGTTGCTGACCCTTTATCATAGCATTGTATAGTTCAAACATTGCGGCTTTAGGAACAGCGTTTGAGCTTGTATTGAGATATTCGAGTGCAAAGAAGGGGTTGTGGAAGACTATCTTGAAGATATACGTAGCAAGCATGGCATGGGTGATGAGAAGAGGGAATCGCTTCTTCAAAAGTGGCGACAATGTTCCCAGCAAAGCATCGAAATTTGGCCGGGAGATATGTTCCTTAAGAAAGTCTGTTATTTCCACTTTCTCCTCGTTCGAAAGAGCCTCCAGATAGTTTATATCTGGAACTGCATAATATTTTGCCCATGATTTGAGATTTTCTTCGAGTTTGGAGAATTCATTGCGGACCGCCCCATCCTCACTAGGGACCCACGAAGCTCTCTTGATTGAGCGAAGGGCACCTTCTTGAGCAACGCGAAGATCATCTTGTAGTTTTTGATAGCTTTCTTGCATAATACCGAAATCTTGGGCAAAGGATTCTACCTTCTGCTCCAACTCCCTAATACAGAGCTTTTGAGATGCGATCTTGTTATTGCGATTAGCTAATGCTGCCTTCATGGAATTGATATTATCCTCGAGGAAATGGATGTGATGTCCGCGGTGTTTGACGGTGCTGCGGAGCTTCAGTATTAAATCCTCATTACGCTGAAGCCTCTGGTTGAATTCATCTTCTCGGCTCCTCAGCCTAGATCTCAGGTGTTCTACCTGTGATCTTAGGGACTTCAGTGTGTCCATTTCATTGGTGTTTGTTTGCTGATCACGTCCAGGATCGCCTGCAGTGTTTAGCACTTCTGAGTTGCTGGGTAACTGAAACTATGTAAACAGGTAAGTAATGGAATAAAGAGCTGTATTGCCAACAGACTTACAGGATTGGAAGGGTCTGTAACAATCCCCGCCAGTGAATAATGAGTCCTCAATAATAACACGCCTTCCAACTCCTCACTACTATCAGTTGTGATCTGCTATTCAAAAAAAGTTAGCAAGTTCAAGTCTCACTGGGAATTGGAATAGCCGAACTATAGGGAAGACGCGTTAACATACATCAGAGAAGCTCACCCTGTCAATATCTGATTTGTACCCACAAGCTCCTCCAGGCGTTGGAGGGTTCATCTCACAATTGTAATCTATGGTTTGACCACCGAAATCTGGTGGCAGTTGGGTGTAGGATCATGAAAAGTGAAGGCACTGATGAAGTTGGAATTATTTCTCTCGGGCCGGCAATTTCCTGTGTTGCAGAATTTCCATGAGCTAAGTGAGGTTTTTGGAAGCACAAAGAAACAACAACAACAACAACAACAACAAGCTGGAACAAATTTCTCTTTCTACTACACACCGGCTCTCTCAGAGCTATCCAGTAACAATTTATAGGACTCAGCAAGTAGCGACGGGGTCAGATTCAACAACATTGAATATGGCACCGAAGCCAGGCAAAAAGTCTCCGAAAACAGTGCACCAAAAGCCCAGGGCACCCAAAAAACCTGGAGCACGTCAACAGCCTCAAGGGCTCAACAGAATGCTTCCAACACATAAAATTATAGTCGGTATTGACTATGGAACCACATTTACAGGTGAGGTGGCCACTGACATCAGTAGAAGAAGCAAGCTGACAAGTGACAAGGAGCCAGCTATGTAAGCACCACGAGCAGTGATATAAAGGATATCATTGTCATTGGAACATGGCCAGGCCCGTCGAGGGACACTGAAACGGTGTTCAAGACACCTTCACGTATCGCCTACCAATTTGAAGACATACGAAGCAATAGCATTCGATGGGGGTTTCAAGTTGAGCCTGGCATGACTTCCTTCTCTTGGACAAAGTTGCTCTTGGATCAAAATACGGCCCTTGGGGTGTTTGACGACAATAACCTTGAAAATGCCTCCAAATTGGGTATTTTGCAACTCCCTCATGGCAAAACGGCAGTGGATGTCGTAGCAGACTTCCTCACAGAGGTTCGGGCGCATGTCTTTAAAATGATTGAAAAGCAGGTCACGAAGGAGACGCTTCGAATCACCCCGATTGAGTATTGGTTTACAGTGCCGGCGATTTGGTCGGACCAAGCAAAAGCGCAGACAAAGACTGCCGCCCAACGTGCCGGTTTCGTCTATAACATTGAACGGCCTAGCGACCAAATGTTCATGGTCACGGAACCAGAAGCCGCAGCCATTGCGGCTTTGAAGAAAACAGCCACAGATGGCCTTGGAGCTTCCGTCCAGGTTAGTCCCAACTATGTGTATGTTTGAACGATGGCTAATTCAGTTTCATAGCCAGGTGATGGAGTTTTGGTATGTGATTGCGGTGGTGGTACAGTGGTAAGTGAAATTCCGCCGTTGATATGGGGTAATATCTCACAGATGACAAGGATATAACGACATACTTAATCAACAAAGTCGATCCGGTTTTGTCTTTTGAAGAACTTTGCACTGGTATCGGTGAGTGTTAGATGTTATTAGCACCACGACAAGTTTGGTTGCTCACGGCCATTGTAGGCGGCAAATGCGGGTCGACGGCTATAGACAGAAATCTGTACAGTCTAATGTCTCGGCGTTTTGGAAAGGCCTTTAACATGCTTCCTTCTAAGAAGAAAGGCCCAGGAAGCGAGTTCATGAGGAAATTCGAAATGATCAAAAAGGATTTTGGCTACAACATGGAAGAAGACAGAATCCACGAGTTGCCCCTTAACATGATAGCCAACGAGGTGAAGTCCGAATATTTTGACGCTGAAGAACGCCTTGTCATGCTTTCAAGGTAAGGAAGTAATCCAGGGATGAGCTGTAGCAGGTAACCTGACTGTCAACTTAGCAACGACATCCGACAACTTTTTGACCCAGTCGTGAACCGGATTATCGGGCTTGTTCGCAAACAAATAGAAGACGCTGAGGACGCAGAAAGTGGTATAATTAACGTATGAAACGGTTTTTACTTGATTCTCGCCCACTGGCTGTATTCATGTTGACGTGGACTAGCGAATAATTCTTGTTGGTGGATTTGGCGATTCTGAGTACCTCCGAAAGAGTATGGAAACAGCATTCTTTGGTACCACGATTACTGTCCCAGACAACCCGTAAGTGGGCACCTCCATTTAACTAGGCAAAAGCTAATAATCCTTCACAATTCAGACAAACTGCAATTGTCAAGGGAGCAGCGCTTCGAGGTCTTTGGGGGCTCCAGGCAACAACTAAAAGATGTCGTCGCCATTATGGGTTTGACTGGAGTATTAACTTTCGGGACGGTATCGATAATGAACGAGATGCTTACATTCACGAGTTCACGGGGAAAAAGGTAGTGGGTGGGATCATGAAATGGATGATTGCCAAGGTATGTCAACGAAATTGGCAAGATGGTTTTGGCTGACAAGGTAACCAGGGAGAGAAATACACCGAAAACCATACACAAGTCGTTGAATACGCTCAGACACATTATTCCGGCAGTTCAATGATAAAGAAATTTGTGCTTTACTCGTGCGATTTAAAAGAAGCACCTGAACGAGTTAAACACACGGGTATGCATAATTCTTTCCACTTCATTCACCGAACGCCTCCTGACCCAACTTGCCATGCAGGTATCAAAAAGGTCGGCACAATATGTGTGGACGTCACGGACATTGACTTCAATCTTTTCGAGAAGAAATTAATCAATGGTGTGATTTCATACCGAATTAAATTCTCAGTGAAAGTCGTATTCGAAGCCCAAGATGGGGCGTTGAAGTTTGAAACCACCTCACAGGATAAGGTTGTTGGGAAGACTACCATCGACTTCACATCCACCAAGTACTATTGACACTTGGTGGTTATAATGGCACATCATGAGTCAACTTTGAATATCAAAACGAGGATGATGACTAGGTCGATAAGCCAACATCTTCCGCGAGATTGGTGAACAGGTATTGGGGGGACTCTTCTGCAGTTTGGACAACAGTTCTAGTCACAAAACCAGGCAATTGGCTTTTGAGCAATGTGAAGAAGTAGCTTCATCTTATGAGATTAAATTCGACCTCTATGCCAGAGACTTCTTAGATGGCCTTGTTATCTGTTGGAGAATGTCTGTAATCATGTCCTCGGGGTATGGCCGTAGCTACTGTATTATTTCAGTCCAAGTCCACCAAATGCACGGTCAAGTTCAATGCCTTCACTCCTTGGTTCCATGGCTGGAGAAGTATCTTTGTTTGTTTGATCAGCTACCGGCCGGTCAAGTAGACTCTGATGTGCCCCGGCTGAAGCATGTCCTTGTCCGGACGTGTGGGTTGGTTGTAGTAGCTTCTCTTCCCGGTCCAGCCACCCAGGAGCAACTCGACGCTTCTCAGCCAAGTCTCGTTGCTTGATAGACTCCTCCCACTCCTTAATAGCAGCCTCTCCCTCTGACTGTCTCTTCTTCATGTGGTCCGCCAGTGCCTGACATGTTGCGAGTATATCAGCCGGGTGAGCGGCATGGCCACTGGACGAGACGACATATTTTGGTTTCTCTGAGCCGCTGGCGTCAACTGTGACAGACGGCGGGAGAGAAGAGGGAATCGACTTGTATGTATATGGCAGGGTAGTCGCTGTAGGCAGAGAAATGAACGGCGAGACCGTCAACGGAATCTGCGCCAGTATGGGATGAGGTTCTGGTCCGTCGTTAGCTCCATCCACAATCCTCGAACCCACAGCACCACTTACTCTCCGAATCAAACATCTTGCCCGGTCTCTCTACCTCCTGTCGTTGTTGTTTATGATCCCAGTCCCAATCCTGCTTGTGATGACGTTGATGTTGTTGGTGCTCGTAAAATGCGGGCGGGAGATGGAAGTCGCAGCAAATAGGAGAGCCGCGAAAGCCGCATCCACCTTAGCGAGCAACTCTTCAGCGTCAAAACCTTCGAGAGACAACAAGCGATAACTCCTGAATGTCTACATCGCAGCCTGCGGCTTTGCACAACAACGACCTGTTTGCTCGAACGGACGGCTAGCTGCCTCTTAGCCAAGCGACCCTGGTCTTCACTAGTGCCCAACTATCTGAAATAGAAAAGCCACCCACGCTCGTCGACTAGTTATTTATCTTTACTACGTCGTCAGCCCTAACTACTTATTCATCGAACACGCGACGAACCCTCAACCTGGCCGCTGGCATTTGCTACGACTCTTCACGTCTTGAACCGCATATGCTCCAGCTCTAGCATCGCCGAGAAGCCCATCGACGAGCTGCGCCCCCTCGCTAACCCGTATCACGGTTGAGATTGACAGGCATATCGTACAGTACCCCTCCCAGACCACTGAGAACTCAGGCTGCGCCACCATCCAATCCGCCGAACAAGCAGCAAGCATGGAAGGGAAACTGGTGCAAGCGGTCACGGAGAAGAAGCCCGTCCCTGAGATTGACTTCACCCTCCATACTATGGAAGATGGCACTCAGGTATCCACACAGGAGCGAGTCTGCAAGGGTTTGTTGACAAGGCCCCCTCCATTTCTACACATACAAACAGACATGTAGAGACTATACTGCCTCGCGCACTTTGCTGACAGTTCAATCTCAGAGGTGCAAGCACCGGCTTTCAACACACCCACGAACGAGCAATTTTGGTCCAGCGAAGATCCCACCAAGCCAGACCTAAAGTTCCTCAAGCAGCACTTCTTCCGTGAAGGTCGTCTCACAGAGGAGCAGGCACTATGGATCATCACTAATGGAGCACAAATCCTCAGATCAGAGCCGAACTTGCTCGAGATGGATGCTCCTATTACAGTGTGCGGTGATGTTCATGGACAGTATTACGATCTGATGAAGCTGTTTGAAGTGGGAGGTGACCCTGCGGAGACACGATATCTCTTCCTTGGAGACTATGTTGACAGAGGCTACTTCAGCATTGAGGTAAGTGAAACGACGGGTATGAAATGTTGGGGAATTTCTTACTGATATTTTTCGTAGTGCGTTCTGTACCTATGGACTCTGAAGATATGGTATCCCAACAGTCTTTGGTTGCTGCGTGGTAACCACGAATGTCGCCATCTCACGGATTACTTTACCTTCAAGCTAGAGTGCAAACACAAATACTCCGAGAGGGTCTATGATGCTTGCACAGAGTCATTCTGCGCCCTGCCTCTAGCCGCAATCATGAACAAACAGTTCCTCTGTATCCACGGCGGCCTGAGCCCTGAGTTACACACGTTGGAGGATCTTAAAACAGTAAGTGCTCCTTTTATTAACGGCTGTATATGAATACTGACAGTTGCTATAGATTGACCGTTTTAGAGAACCACCAACCTACGGACTAATGTGTGACATTCTATGGGCCGACCCCCTGGAAGACTTTGGACAGGAGAAAACAGGCGAACACTTCATCCACAATAATGTCCGAGGATGCTCATACTTCTTCTCCTACCATGCTGCCTGCGCATTTCTAGAGAAGAATAATCTGCTATCGATTATTCGAGCCCACGAGGCCCAAGATGCAGGATATAGAATGTACCGCAAAACTCGAACGACTGGATTCCCAAGTGTTATGACCATCTTCAGTGCGCCCAACTACCTTGATGTCTACAACAACAAAGCTGCCGTCCTCAAGTACGAAAACAATGTCATGAACATCCGCCAGTTTAACTGTTCGCCACATCCTTACTGGCTTCCCAACTTCATGGATGTCTTTACCTGGTCTCTACCGTTCGTCGGAGAAAAGATCACGGATATGCTCATTGCCATCCTCAACACTTGCTCCAAGGAAGAACTTGAAGAAGAGACGCCCTTGTCAGCGTCCGAGACTCCACCTTCGCCAACTCTTCCATCCAACGATCCCGAAAGTACTGAGTTTAAACGACGTGCTATCAAAAACAAGATCCTTGCAATTGGCCGTCTATCCCGTGTATTCCAGGTCCTCCGAGAGGAGTCTGAGCGAGTCACCGAGCTCAAAACCGCCACTGGTGGACGATTGCCAGCTGGAACCCTCATGCTGGGCGCTGAAGGTATCAAACAGGCTATCCACAATTTTGAAGACGCTCGAAAGGTCGATCTACAAAACGAACGACTACCACCAACCCATGAAGAAGTCACTAAGCGTGCCGAGGAGGATCGGCGACAGGCGTTGGAACGGGCTGCCCAAGAGGCGGCTAACGATACGCATCTGACCAATGTCGCCCGAAGGATTAGCATGTAAGTTGCGCCGCTCGGCTTTCATTTAAATATTACTTATAGAGCTGAGCTAATACGTCTTCATCTAGGTCCTCTGGGTCCGGTCGACCTCGCAAGCGGGAGCCGTCATCTTAGTCCTATTCTTACCTCATCCATTCATCCCTTGACATTGATCCCATCATTATGACTCCAGGATTGACGCACAAATTATCCCCTATCCCAGGCAGTGGCAAACCCGAACTCTTTTTGCTCTTTTTCTTAACTGCTTTTGAATTGATTGAATGACTTCCCGGTGACGATACCAAGACCTTTTTAATTCCACTAGGAGAAATGCAAAAGTTGCATATCCTGTATGAATCTTGAATAAGTTTTCACGAACGAAAAGGAATTGATAAATTCCATTTCCCTTAACCGGCATGTCTTTCTGGTGTCCGTCACCAACCATTTCTCTGGTCCTCGACATGTCGGGAGAAAAGAAGGATAAAAAAGGACAAGAAAAAAAATATCAATAGTAATATCTCCCTACAATGACGCATAAACGACAGGTTTGGTTTTATGTTTCCTTTGCTCTGGTAACTACAAGGCATAACAACGATACTGGAATCAGGCGGCTCATCCTTTAACCTTACAATTCGTCTCGTCAATTATAATATTCTCTTTAAAATTCAGGGCTCTCTACTATATGATCACGATTGTAAACTACCATGTATGATAGTTATACTACCCATAGCTACCATGTAAACCATCTATACCAATTCTTACTTGAAGTCCATTTCTGTACAGCGTATTTACCCGATTTATTACATATTACTTGCCAAGCCACTTCATTTTGGTACGCAAAGTGGCTTAGTCATCTAAATTTTTTACCGTCCCTGTATTGGTCAAACACAAGCTTGTTTTTATTTGCATCAGCAGCTTAAGAGAAGAAGATATCAAGAGCCCAAACCGACAGCCCGCAGCCCATCTGCGCATCCACCCCAATGCCTGGGAAATATCATGTCTCCCTCCTCCAGAGGACGCCGATCCTAGCCACACGATTATTCTTTTGCCCGTCATGCTCGCAGATACGCAGATTCTCCAGCAGACCAACTTCTGCGCCCAGGTCAATAACCACTCGCTCCGCGTCGACTTTTCCTGGTTCTTCGATTATCAGTGCTACAAAAAACATCCCTGAGAGGTTTCAAGAGCTGTATAAAGCTTTGGAGGAGCTTAAAAATACGTCCGGAAACTATGTGGACTTGAGCAGGTTACAGTTAGCGCAAAGAGGAATAGAGACGGAGAACCCATTGATACGCATTGCTGGTGAGTGAGAATGCCACAGCGGCTTTTCTATTTAGCCCTACTAACTGTTAACCCATAGTGTTTGGCGTGGGTGATACCCAGACTTCTGCGAGACTTGTACGGCTACTACTTGCTGACCCGCTGGGTCCGAAAGAAGCATGGGAAGACCAACTTGGCTCCCGTACCAGCAATGAATCGGGCAGTTTTCTTATAAGGTCGGTTACTCTGTTTGTTTGCTGGATATGACATGAGGCTAATTCTTAGAAATTTCAATACAGGTACGGGGACAAATATCAAGTATCATCTGGAGCCAGCCCTCTACCGACAATCTCGATACCGTCCAACCTTTTACGGAAAGCAAACCTAGAAATCCAGATGTCACCACTAGGCGCAAATATCTTCTCAATAAAAGAGCCAGTTCCGAACTCCCTACAAGTTGCAACAGTCGCCATTCCGTCAACTGACGGGAGCCCTGCCACACACATCCAATACCCCGTACACAGGTCAATAATATGCGGCAATGGGGTCGATGGGGTGTTTACGTTCGCCAGATTAATTGGTAGAGCAGATACGGCTGAGCTCGGCCCATTAAAAGCGGTATTCCAGTTACCGTTAGACAAGGCTCCGGAGAACAGCAACGGAGAGGTTTCCTTTATTGATATCGACCGTGCTGAAGTGGCATTGGACAAGTTCCGTGAGTCAGCCCAAAACGCAACGGATTACCAGGAGGGATGGGACAGAAGCAGGATTCAACCAATCATCGACTGGCTGGCAGCGGCTCACACGGATCAAGCTGTATCCCCTGACCTCCGGCATTTACTTGATTCCGTATTGAAGGAAGCAGATGCCAAAATAGAGGAGCACGAAAAGAAGACATTGGCCGATGTGCAAGCAAGTTCCGTACCCGAAGAGGTACGGAAATCCCTGGATGTCATGATATCAGGATGGGCGGAAAGGGCCCACGAGGAGCTCCGAGTCGCACTAGACGAAGCTTTCAGATGCAAGAGCTGGCAGAGTTTAGTGTGGTGGAAATTGTTTTGGAGAGTTGATGATGTTCCAATGATATGCTCCAGCCTGCTGCAAAGACAGTGGCTCACTCAGGCTGAAAAGGAAGCTCTCTGGATTGGTGGACGGTTCCAACAAGCCCGATTGCTAGAAGATGACTCCACTGCGGCCAGTGAAAAATATGTTCAAGCTACAGGAGACCCACCACCTAAATCCTCATCTAGTACCCCAGGGTTCACCCCATGGCGGACACAGATAACGGAAAGCCGAAACAAGCTCACAGCATCCACCGTCATGCCACTACATTCTCTCGCACAGAGCCTAGTCATGTTTAGCTTGTCGACTACCGGCTTGACATCGGCATTATCCGCGCTGACATACATCTCTACTACCACTGCTTCTTTTAGCGAGGCTGGAACCTTTGCTGCAGTGGGTTTAATATACTCAGTTTGGAGACAACAGAAGAAATGGGACCTAGCTCGCAAGACCTGGGAAACAGATATCCGTGAGGAAGGCCGAAAAGCATTGAGGCATACGGAAGATTCAATGAGAATGGTAATACGTGACGGAAACAGACCAGCGATGCCACCTATAGAAACGGAAGCTAAGGAAAGTATCCAGAAGGCCAGAAATGCCTTATCAGATGTATTATAGATCAAAGAGGTTTCGTTCTTCTGTAATTATACCCCTTTTACTGCACGGATTTGTTTTTTATAGACGTTACCTTCTCATATCTAAGTAAGCTCCACGCTTCCTTCTGGCACTCCGCTAGTGCTACGTAACCGCCTCGCGAAGAACTGCATGATAGGCATCATTTCGTCCCTATTTCGGGGCATGGTATCTTCCTTCTTGCTCCTCCAGCGGACCACATCCACATATTCAAATTCTTCCTTCGTTCGACGAGTGCCGACATCCGATACGGCGCTCTGCGCACCATGACCACCCAACACCAACACAGGGCTAGGTGATTTATTTTGCCTACTTCCTCTCTCCTTGATAGCGGAAAGAGGCAACACTCCGCCAACAGCAACGACACCACCAAGCTCTCCCCGGCCAGCCTCCGACCGATGGAATTCCAATGCTGCACTCAGTACAACGCTCGCACCCTGCGCGAACCCGAAAAGTAATATCTCGCGAGCCTTGTACCCGAGCTTGTCTATTAATGTTGACCGTATGATATCCGTGACTATCATGCGAGTAGCCCTGGTAAAGCCAGGGTCTTGATCTAACGAGTCTGCTTCAAAAACTATGTCATCACCCCAGTGAAAGCCGGGAAGGTCGAACGGCAGTGGGACGGGGGCCCGGACGACTATACAGCTTGTCTCAGGTAGGTGGAGGGCTGATGCAAAGCTGGTAAAAGGCGCGGGTGTATCGCCTAGTCCATGGAGGAGGATGAGGATGTTTGTTGATCGTGGTGAGTCTGGTGGGGTGATGGTGAGAGATATAGATGACGGAAAGTCGCTTTCTTTAGGGATAGCGGGCATTTTTTTTTAGCTATTTCAAGGGGTTGCTGCGGGTTGATATCAAAAAGTGAAAGTAACACATGTAACTATTTATTTGAGATATCGAATGATGGAAAGGCCCAGGTAGTTGGGTTTAAAGAGTTGAGTTTAAATTCACTCGGTATAGAAGGGGGCGGTTAAGGTTGGTTATAACCTCCGCTACAGATAACCCGGTTACACCTGTGGCCGTACGCCTGCACCCCCATGTAACAGAGATATTTGGCCTCTTGGTGAGCAGACTTCCGTATGGGCGGTTTTACCGCCAAGAAACTACGCCCATTGAATCTCTTTTAAAACCACCCAAGGCCCAAAGCTGAAAAATCACGCCTATTGGGTGCCAAGATTTAAAACGCCAAGCCTTAATTAGTCATCTGCTAGCGTAGTGAGGTAAGCTTATTAATTATCTATATATTCTATCTTTTATAATATTTTTAGCTAATTTATCCAATTTATTAGAGTAGTTTTAAAAGTACTACTTAAAATCTCTCTAAAATTAAATGAATAAATTAGCTAAGTTTCTAGAAAAAATATCACTAGCCCCCAATTTACTAGGGTTATATAATCACTAATAAATGCCAGGAATTATAATGGGTCCTATAGGTGGTATAGGTGGTAAAGAGATATCTCTATTACTACTCAAGAAGGCGAGACAAAGGTTTCCTCCGTCGTCAATCTATCGCGCTCATATCTCCCTGTTCAGCCTTGTTCTCAAATCCCGCTCCTGGGTAACCACGGTCTGCAGCATTTCCTCGATACCATTTGAAATCCCTTTGGCGGTTCCGTTCTTATCAGCTTGAATTATCCGATAGCACTGTCCAACGAATCTCTGTGTGGAGTGGCTTAGTCGATTTAGTAAACCGAGTAGTGAACTTGTATAGGCGGTGGGATTGGACTCAAGTGATAATACGGAATTGCCCAGCCCGTCCGAGGAGCTGCTTAGAGAAAAGGCGTTGGTAATATCGCTGTGGCTGCCTAGGCTGCCATAATAGCCCGGTGAATTTAGCAAAGATGGCATAAGACCCTCATACACATGCAGCAGGCGAAGGTATGTTGTGAGGACAAGGAGTGCAATTATCTTATCCAGCCGGTATGTGGATATTATGTCTATCCCCTTCACGTGGTTGTAATTGTGCCATTCGCAATACAAACTCCCGATATCTATTAGTTGTTGAGTAAAGTCAGAAAGCTCGTTGATTTTCGCTTGTCGCTGGCTTCCATCGTCTCTAATAGCGGTAGAAACCATTGAGCAACAGGATATTTTCGTCTGTAGAATCAGGACCTTCTGTACACAATCGCGCCATAGGTGCTCGTTCTGCGATGGAATGGGGTTCGATAAGAGCCGTAAGTCGCTTTCAAGGTTGCTAAAAGATTCTGTGTACTGTTGCACAGGCTCTCCGTTCCGAAGGGAGGGGAGGTCACACAACATGGCTGCAAGACGATTGATTAGTTTGTTTTGTCTATAAGGATGCAGCTTTCAGCTGTGGACAGATTTGTTCTCACGAGATTCATTAAAAACATCTTCCTGTGTTTGATTTGACATCGTCAGGGGGTCATTCTCACTTCCACTCCCGCTATCCTTGGAGGTCTCAGGAGGAATAGGGCATATTTTACCAAACATGTCCAGGAAAGTGTCCTCCATTGGTATATGGCCTTCTTCCTGATCTGCCGCGTTTAATTTATCCAAGTCTTCCAAATTCCATACAGTTTCTGTCCAGGGGCTGGCTGTCGGTGCTGGAGCGCGTGGCCGCCCCATCTGGAGTCGGTAGCTGAAAGTGCATTCTTTCTTGGCCAGGAGACATCGCTGACAGGGACCCGGCGATTGTTGTGCTCGCATACATCGAAGCTTCTGTCCATGGCAGCGATCGCAGGCTTGACGTTTTCGTGATGACAATGGTTTAGGTTCCAGCGCCATGACGCCGAGAACAGGGGAAAGGCTAGTTATCAACCAAGATCGAAGTTAATGGTTACCTAGGCAGTTATTTGAGTCTCTCAGCAACGTGCAACAGGGTAAAAGGTAGAGCGCGGAGTTTTACCCGCCGCTTGGCCGCTGGGCGGATTTCTTATTTATTTGCCAGCGGGTCACAGAGTAAGTACACTGGAGTACTTAAAATAGTGTATAACTGCTCCTACGGGAGGGGCGTTAGGATTGTTCCACCTTTCAATCTTAATTGGCACTTAACTAACTACACGAGCTGGGGGGTGGCCTATGATTTCAGGCCTAGTACTGTACCAAAGCGGAGCTACACCTGTCTGGCCCAGCAAATTACGCCTTGCTCCACGGCGGCGTGTCTGTTGTGCATGGCTCCCATGCAGGTGTTACACTCATGGATGCAGGTCTGTGGGGGAGAAGGAGCAGTGCAAAATGGAGTAACTATAGTATAGTGCGACGGTTCGCGAACTGCTGCTTGCTAGGGGTTCGTCGTTGCTAGCACCCCCTACAGGCTGGATGGAGCGAGCTAAGGAAGCAGCCACGGCGGAGAAGAGGGGTGAAGGACGGCAAATGAGGCCTATATAAGGCATATTATGAGTCAAATAACTTCACCAAGCAGTTGCCTGTAGGAAGGTGGCGCTTTGGGGCGGTTTGTAAAGGAGCTCTACCATGCTCCGTACTTAGCTGAGGGCTCCTCGAGGGTCCAACGGAGGATCAAGTGAGCTGCTGGAAGGCACAAACCCCTTTCCATCCAATACGGGACCTTGTTAGGGTTCCTCCCTTAGCATGCACCAGATTATGGAGCTGGGCATCCCAGGGATTGTTGACTCCGACGTGGTGCTGTACCCAGAGTTCGACCGGGGCCCATCGATACCCATTGAGGCCTGGACCGGATACTTGTACGGAGTAACTACATAGTATATAACAACACCAGATCGTGGCTTAACCTAAAATAGGTACTCCTAACACAGAAAAGGGTCTAGTTACTTAATATCTTAGTTATTATTAATACCTTCCTTTTATTTTTCTACTACCTTTAATTTCAGTAGTTAGAGAGAGTAGAAAGCCTAGAGAGAGGTAAGAGAGAGATATATAGAGAGGTAAGAGAGATATATATAGAGAGGTATAGGGAGGGGCCAAAATCCAGAGTCATGTGAGCAAAACGTGCGCCCCTGGGCACAACAGTCCGCCTCAAGTAACCGTGAACATGATGAGATGAGATATTGGCTTTGTAAGTGTGTATTCGATTGAATGTGTACGTGTAAGTACGCGAATCTGTAAGGTATAACTATTCTACCTAATACTCTATATAGAATCAATAAACCAAACACATTTGTATCAAAAGGGGGAATAATTATATAGAACGAAAGTGTTTGTATATACTTGTAAAAATAGTGTAACAAAGAAAAAGATTTGTATGATAAAAGAATTACAATATATATATAATGAAGGGAAAGACAAAGGAAACACACTGAGCCCTCACATTATCGCCTCTCTATCGCCGAGAAACAAACGGCTCAGCAGCCCCAGGAAGCTCCAACACCTGCGCAGCAATCACATACGGATATCCCGCCGCCTTAACATCGCCCATCCACTGCAATCCAGACATCAACGAGACGTCAGCATCCCCCTGGAGAGCTTCCGCTTGCCTGGCAAACAACTCTCCAATTTCCTCCGTGTCAATGCGCACTTGACTGGGATAATTACGATAAGTTACCCTGCCGTTCTTGCTCTCCTGGGTCTGGAGGTTCGATTTGCGGGCCGCTGAGGGGAGGAAGGGCTTTAGGAATTCGCGCACAAGCGCCTCGCCATGCGTCAGGTGCATCTCTCCGCGGATCGGCTTGACGCCATCGGATGTGATCATGATTTTGAGGCTTCGAGTGAGGATGGCGAGTTCGTTGACGGCATGCTGGTGGACTTCTGGAGACTCGGAGGTTGACGTGGCGGGAATCGTACGGTGGATGGTGACGGGGACCTGGAGCTGTTCGGCGGCCTGTTGGAGAATTTTCTCACTTGCCCATTTGGATGAAACGTAGCCATCGGAGCCGTCGGTTGGAGGAGTCTGGGTTGAGTCCATTGAGAGGACACCGCCGGAAGACATGAAGTGGATGGGAATCTGGCGCACAGCGGCCATCTTCACGAGGGATCGGGTTGGGAGCACGTTGGCTCCTCGTAGAGCCTGGTAGAAGTCCCAGAATGAGCGGCTGGCGCCCAGATGGAGGATGACGTCGCAGTTCTGCGCGAATCCGTTGTAGACTTCCTCAGACAGTCCGAGGAACTCCTTGGAAATGTCGCCCTGGTGATAGGTGGCTTTGTCGGAGTCGAAATACTTCTGCTGGGTTGGGTCGCGTCGGGTAATGCAGTGGACATGAGAGACTTGCTGACTGGTGATCAGTTCCGCGAGGACCCTGGATCCAATGCTTCCGGTGGCACCGGTCATGAGAATGACTAGATTGTCAGTTGTTCTGGGAAGAGATCCTCTGCCAGCCTTGGACTTGGCCTCAGAGACGATGGAAGAGATGGAGGTTTCCCTCTCCCAGCTAATAACCTCAGCTTTCACGGCGTTTTCAACCCTCATAGCCATTCGGGATAGGGTGGAGTGTTGGTAGAATTCAGCCAGTGGAACGGTAACTCCGAGTTCCTTTCGAATGAGTGATTGCAACCTGATGAGCAGGAGAGAGTTTCCTCCACACTGGAAGAAGTCCATGTCTGGGTTAGTGGCCACTCGAGCAACAAGAATTTCAGGCAGGGCCTGGTCCCAGATGGACTTGAGCTTTTTCTGAGAGTCAGTGAGCTCGGATGACGCGGGTCCATCAAAGTTTAGAAGCTCAGGAAGCTCAAGAGATGCAACTGCGATTCGATCGACCTTGGAGTGCAGATTGATAGGAATGCTGTCGAGTGGAAGAATCACTGCTGGACGAGCATGGACAGGGAGCGGTAGGCTGGCTTGAAGCTGTTTCATCCATGCTCTCTGGCTCGCCTCGTGTTGAGCCACGGCCGTGGTTGGAGAGAAGACGACGTGGGCCATGAGGAATCGATTCTCACCGTCTCCGCGGACTGAAACCACCACTTCCTCCAGGTCGCCACCAGCCTCCTTCAAGATCACATTCTCAATCTCCTCCACCTCGATGCGGAATCCACGGAGCTTGATCAGGGTATTTCCAATGCGCTGTTCAAATCTGAGAGATCCATCAGCATCGAATCGGCCACGATCGCCGGTGCGGTGCATTGTAACCCAGCCATTTGCGCGGTACTCTTGTGAGGCAAAAGGGTTGGGGACGAATCTGGCTTTTGTGAGCTCGGCGTTGTTCAGATAGCCCAGGCCGACGCTACTACCACCGATGCAGATTTCGCCGGAGATGCCGACGGGCACTGGCTTGAGATCTTCATCGACAATGTAGATGGAACAATTGGGTATCGTCTTGCCGACGGGCACATTGGGAACGGAGTCCTCGGTCAGGGGACCAGTCATGGTTGCAACAGCTGTCTCAGCAGGGCCGTAGAGGTTGATCAACTGTGCGTTGACTCCCTGGAGGCCATTGAATTCACGCACCAACTTGGGGGGAAGAACGTCTCCGGCGGAGCCTGCATACTTCCACTTGGTGCATTTTTCGAGATATTTGTGGCCGAACTGCAACCACGAGGAGTATTCAAGTGGTGTTGCCAGCGAAAAGGTGATTCTGTGGTTTGCCATGATCTTGGAAATCTTGATAGCATCACCTCGAACGGACTGGGGAACAACGTAGACGGAACCTCCGTTGCAGAGAGCGAGTAGAGCCTGGATGATCGACAGATCGAATGTGATGGCGGTCTGCTGCAATACTGCTTCCTCCTTGGGTTTCAATGTGTAGGTGAGAGCCTCGATCTGGTTGCGAAGGTTGCTATGGCTGAGGACGACACCCTTAGGTGTTCCAGTGGAGCCGCTTGTATAGAGGATGATGGCTGGCGATTCAGGGTGGGCCAAGCTGGCGACAGTTTTCTTGTGGGACTTGATATTTGAAATGTCGATTGCAGCTGTAGCCTTGGGAAGAACAGCCCTTGCTTGGTTGGATGTTGGGGGGTGAAAAATGAGAGCATCAGGCTTGCAATCTTCAAGAATCGCCTTCAAGCGGCCGGCGGGTTCTCGGCAGTCCAGGGGAACGTAGACTGCACCAAGGTTGAATACCGCAAGCATTGAGCAGATCCAGTCAACAGTCGGCTCTTGTAGAAAAGCGACATGAGATCCAGACTTCACACCAGTCGCTTGCAGTGCTCCTGCAATGTCAGACGCACGACCGGCCATTTCACGGTAGGAGAAGGGGGTATCTCCGGCGTCTTTCAGGGCAACTTGGTCCGGATTTGCTCTGAGGACGGCTTCAATGCGTTGGGGGATCGTCTCCGGCCATGCCGATTTCATGCTTGGGCCTAAGGGTGCACAGTTATCAGAGTGTTTGAGCTATATGAGTGCTTGGGGATTGACAAAACTTACCTGCTCCGAGAGATATCGCTGCATCAACCTGGCTGCTTGTGAAGAGCGGTGGTTCTTTGAGGTATTGGGCGGTGTTGGTGGTGAAGTTTTCCAGGAGGTTGACAAAGACGGTGCCGAGCAGTTCGGTGTGGCTTTGGGAATAGAGGCCTTTCTGGGTGCTGAGTTGGACCACGCAACCCGTGGCTGGGTTTTCAGAAATATCCAGCATGATATCGTAGGCGGTCTTTCCGTAGTTGACCAATGTCCGCTGTCCTTCCGTGGCTCCCATCTGGAAGGTTTCTGGGTGACCAACTCGGAAGTCAACGAAGACCTGGAACAGTGGGGCGTAGTCAGCAGAACGAGGAACCTTGAGTTCATCTAGGATCACATCGAAGGGGACCTGGGAATGGCCCAGCGCAGCATAAGCCTTCACTCGAGCCTCCTTGACAGCGTCTCCAAATGTCTGGGATCCACTGGCTTTGAATCGAAGGGGTAGCGAGTTGATGAAGACACCCATTGAGCGCAACATATCCGCTTCTGGTCGACTAGCATCTGCAATTCCGATGCAGAGATCTTCAATGTCCACGAACCGAATCAACATTGCTTTCAAAACTGCGAGATAGAAGTGAAAGCTTGTCGCCTGATAAGGGCGGCACTTCTTCTTGATTCGGGCAACCATAGTAGATGGGAGCCTAAATGTTGTCTCGTTGAAGTCGTACTTGGTGAGCGGTTGACGGAATTTCACTTCTGAAAAGGGGAGTAGCGGGAATGTTGTCGGGAATGTGCTGAACTCCTTGCGCCAGTACGAAATATCTTCGCGCATACCTCCCTTGGCATACTGTTCGCGCATTTGATTGGAGTAGTAGCTGTACTGATGCTCTGGGGGCTGGAGCTTTTCAGGGCTTCCTCCTGCTAGAGAGATCTCAGTCAATAGCCCAAAGCAGCCTACACCATCCATCGCGATATGGTGATAACCGACAAGCAAGTGGTGCAATTGTGGATTCTCGGTCAAGACGATCAGCTCCATAATCTTCCCATTCTCAAGGTCATAGACCTGTTTGGTTAGCCTGGCAAATTCCTCTTCAACTTCGCTGGCAGCCGTGATCAATCGGTGTTTAACATGAATTGGTGACTGAGCCATGATGCCCTGTTTCAGTAGAGTACCGTCCTCAGATTCGTCAAAGAAACATGTCCTTAGGCCTTCGTGGAGCTGTATGACGCTGCGAAGACCCTGCTCCAACTTCTCCGCATCGACCTCCCCACGCAAACGATAGACAAAACTGACGTTGAAGGACGACTTATCCTCCAAGTGCTGCTGTGCAAACCAGAAACGAGATTGTGCATGTGACATGGGCTCCGTACGGACAATGGTGCGTGTGAATTTCTCATTTGGCATGGTGAATTCCGTCTCGGTCCTCCCAGTCGGAGGTGATACTGTAGTATTCGGGGTGTCCATGACTATGCTGGCCACGGTCGATGAAGGGCTTTCCTTTTCGCTATCCGATGTGTCGCCTGGCGCATTCAGGGAGGTCGAGATGCTCGGAATAAGAGCAGGGCTCAACTTCTCCAATGCGGCGTCGGTCAGGCTTAGTAGTGATGCTCCACCCAGGACTTTGAGCACAGGAAGGTTGACGTCAATGGCCTTTCGGAACCAGGTTCGGATCTCCACGGCAACTAGTGAATCGACACCGAGCTCAATGAGCGGCAGTTGTTTGTCCATCTCCTCAGGCTGGAGCTGCAGCAATACTGAAAGTTTGGCTGCGAAACATTCTGCACAATTTGTCAGTCAAGGATTTTACAAGTGCAACTCTTACCTTGTTAACTCACCTTCAATAATTCCGCGAGCATCTTCCAACGACGATGCTTGAATCAACTGTTCCTTGATAGGCACCACTTTCTTGAAGCCCTTCGACTCACTTGCGTCAGCTCGGCTGACAACGTAGTGCGAAAGCCTGGGGTCAGCGAGCCAAGCGACCCTTGTATCAGTCAATGGATCAACTTGACGGATACCGGAGATGATTCCATAGTCATCTTTGGAGTTGATAGACGAGCTGCTGACTGCTTCGGCGAATTGTTGCTGGACCGCATGCTCCGAGATTGGGATACAGCCCTGAGCAAGCATCTCGGTGTGATGCCACTGTCCAGCACGAGTAATGTACCCAATGCCAATGATGGCACCAAAATTGATTACTGAGGCAGCCAATCCTCGCTTTCTCCTCCGGGCTGCTAGACTGACCATGAAAGCGTTTGATGCCGTATAGCTGCTTTGGCCTCCACTGCCCATAACGTATCCCAATGAAGAAAACATGATGAAGAAGTCAAGTGTAGGTTCAGAGAAAATCTCGTCGAGATACTCACTGCCATTGACTTTGGGCCCCATCACCGCCCGAAGCTTGTCGATAGTCATATTGAAAAATGTACTGTCTTGGAGAACCATGGCACCATTAGCAACACCTGCGATAGGGGGCATCGTAGTCTGAATCTGCTGGCAGACTTCACGAACATTATTTCGATTCGTAATATCCCTTTTCGAATAAAGTTAGCTTCTTTGCATCTTGTGAAATAAAGATATTAGATCGATACTTACATTGCACAGATCTTGACGTTGGCACCCTTTTGCTTCTGAAGGTTAATCCACTGCTGGCTGACCTTCGGATTTCGACTGGAGATAGCAATGTGTCGTGCACCCTGTCGGATCATCCACTCGCAAATAGACTGGCCCGTATCGCCTGTCAAACCCACCAACAGGTAGGTTCTGTCTTTCTTGAAAGTAGCGATGTTGCCTGCAAGTTCTAGCTGGACCGACACCTCCCGCTCTGCAGACCATTTTACCACAAGCGGTCTCATGTTTTCCGATGGCAGATCGGCAACGCGACTCAACGGTAAATCTGAGAAACCCTGAGGCACCTCTCCCAGTTCCAATGAGCTAATTGCGTTTGATACCACCGCGGCTAGCAAGGTCTTAGTAATGGCAGAGGAGTCCGAGTTGATAGCCGAAAGAGGTTGGAATATGGACTTGCGATCGAGAATTTCACATGTGGATGGCAATGACCCGATGAGGCGGTGAACAAATGGTACTCGACTTGAGTCATCGGAGAGGTTCACAAATACAGACACACCTAATGGGAGCTGCGCAGCAATCGTGTCCGCATATGAGTGTAGATGTAGGTATATGCTTGAATGGTCCAGGCCCTTTAATTCATGAGTGACAAATACGACCTCTTTTCCTTCGTCTTGCGCTTGCTTGGCCACGGAATTACCGATCTGCTGGTCAGGATCATACATGAGGACCTTTCCATTGGAAGGAGTTAATGCGAGGATATTCTTTGTAACAAGTGCCGCCATTGCGGCATGGACAAACTCGGATTCACGGCCCTGGGGAGCTTTGCATGGCACAATCCACGTCTCCGGAACGTCGATAATGGATGTATTTGTCTCTGACACTGCTAGAACAGAATAATCTGTGCCTGCGACTGTTCCATAGCACAGATATAGGTATCCAACTGATCTGATACGGATAGCTGTGAGGATCGATGTATAAACTTGTACGCGTAGGTGAGCAGATTTGACAGAGTTGAATCCTGATTCCACAGACATGGTTTCTCGAAGCTTAACTAGCTTGCCGCGGGAATCAACACCGATGCAGGTAGACTCCAGCTCGAGGTTGTTATGGATCGGGCGTTGGTTAGAGTTGTACCGGGCATTTCGGATATTGTCACGTTTGATACGTGGGATGACCTCAATACCATTTTGCAGGTATATTTCGGGTTCGACGGTCCAAACCAACTCCTTTAATTCACCTGACTGCTTCCAGGCTCCGGCAGCACAGAGACGTAGGAACGTTTCAGACACGTGTTGGGCGTTCACGTTCCCAGACGCATCTGCATCAACAAATTGAAGATTTAATTCAGTCTTCTCCCTCATCACGGTTCGGGCAAGACCAATGGCCATATTATTGTATGGCTCAGTACCGTTGTCGCAGCCGAAAGTGACCCAGAGAAGGGCCTTCGTAACTCGGAAAAGGTGTTTCAAGCCATCCAATGTGTTGCTGTCGATGTCCTTGAACGTGGCAGACTCGAGGTCTAACAAGTTGATAATGCTTGCTGACTCGGCGGACTCATTCTGCAGAGTTTCAAGCCGCCCATGAATAGTGATTTGGTTGAATCGAGGTCGCAAGGTTCGCACAATTCCGTCCATTAGCTTCGTGGTGGCTGGGGTTCCGCCACCGAGGATGATTAGATCTCCCAAGTCTTCCTGTGGGTTGGGATGCGACAGAGGGCTTCGCAAGAAGTTAACACGGTCATCGGTGGCCTGTGAGACAATAATGGACAGTGGAACTGCAACCGGATCCAGATCTGGAGTTACTGTGTCAACACCTGAGAATCCAGACTTTCGGAGAGCAGAATCCCATCCTGCGGTGTCCAAACAGGGGGTGTAGACGCGGCCATCGTTAACGCCTGCCCACCAACCTGGAAGGCCACCCATGATCATACCAAACTGCATGACGGCAGTGTTGGTGATTTCCAATAGGATGAGATATCCACCAGGTCGCAAGAGCTGTCGGGCGCGCTGCAAACTCTCCTCGAGGTTGACGGTAGCGTGGATAACCATGGAAGCGACGATGACGTCGTAGGAATTTGCCGTATATCCTTGAGAGAGAGGGTCCTTTTCAAGATCCAGGGTTTTAAAGGTGATCTGGGATGTCCATTCGCTGAAATTCTCCTGAGCCTGGCCGAAAAATCCAGGGGAGATATCTGTGTAGGTATATGAAGAAAAGGTGTGGCCAATTCTTCTAAGGATTGCTTGAGTAGCACCTCCGGTACCCGCACCTAAGTTAAAATATGTCAATAAAGAAATATGAAGATCTGGACATTTCCAGCTGTCGGACATTGCCACTTACCAATTTCTAAAATGTCCAGGCTGGGAAAACGATGCACAAGTTGCAAGGCAACACGACCTAACCACCGATTAGCAACTTCCATGTTCTTGGAGTAGCGGTAATAATCCTCGAGCATATTGTCTTTGGTGAGATGCTCCAAGCTATTGGTTTCGCCTCGCACAACCGAGAGGAGGTTTTGGCCGACCGAATGGGCGATTCGGATTTCCACCTCTCCTGCCAATTCCGCCCTGTAATGAAAAAGAATGATCAGTCCTCCATCAGACTAGGGAAAAAAAGGAAATAACGCGAATACATACTTCTCAATTGCTGCCGTGATTCCATCTTGGGTGTCTTGCAGCCATTCTGCGCGTGCAAAGGGATGCTGGTTATTCGCAATCGTACGAATGACGTGATCAGCATAAGCTAAAAGATGTTGATGGTGGGCCTTAGCGTTCTTTCGGTCGGCGGGAGTAACATCCTGCTGCAGTCGTTTGAGATAGACGAGACAAAGTCGTTCGAAGAGATGCGCCATAGAGGTGTGCTGCTCCGAGACCCTTTCCCCAGCTGCCGCGGCCACACCGTCAAGTTTCATAACACCCATAACCGACTGAGAGAAGATATTGGCGTCATCCGCCGCAGTTGCAGTTGCGAATGGGATTGATTGCATGCCTTCAATCTGCAGGACAGGGCAGTCGCTATCCTCGGTATAAATCTGGACCGTAGCCTCGGTGTCGTTCAATTCTATACCCTCTTTCAGAGCAGAGTCAAAGTGTAGTTCGATACTAGGTTCTCCACGATTTTGGCAGAAATAGGGGTTGAGTCGAATACAGCGGATAGATTTGGGGACGAGCAAGTAGGGCAGACCACCATCACCGGGGTAGGTATGGGCTGCGAAGAGAGACTGGAACCCTGAATCCAGGACAGATGGATGCAGAATCATCTGACTACCTGACTGAATCAATGTTCCACGGGCACAATTCTTCTTTCTCCGCAGGCGAGAGATTGTTTTAAATGTTTCCATGTAGCCATATCCGACATCGCTAAGTACGGTGTAGAAGTCTTCCACATTAACTTCGATCAGGTTTGGAGCTTCGGCGACTCGGGTAGGCAACATTTCGGGGGCGGGCTTGCCATAGGTAACCACAATTCGACCACTGCCATTAAGAACCAAGCCTGTTTCACGATTTGGGCACGAGTGGCAAGTGAAATCAGCCGAAACAACATCTGGTGTAAGAGATGGTTTGCTGATATTTGATAAAGCAAACACCACTTCCACGCCAGCAACGTTTGATTCATCAAAGGCAATTCCGCGGCCAATGTCAATGTCTTTGACCTCGATCAACTGAATCTCACGCTCATCAAAAACAATGATGGATGCTTCCCATGCCATGGCAATATATGCAGCTGCTGGAAGGACTGATTGACCCTGAAGCTGATGGTGATTAAGCCATGGTATCTCAGCAGGGCGAAGGTAGTTTCTCCACTTGACTTCATTATTGGTGCATTCTCCTTGGAGTCTTGTTCCCAAAAGCTCGTGAATCTGAGTGCTGCGGTCACGGTGGGCCTTAGAGAGTCGAGAGTCATACCAGTAAGGGCGGTCGTGGTTCCAGGGGTATGTAGGAAGTTCCTTGATGTATGTGGGGCTAGGCAGTCCTGAGAGTGTTTGCTCGTAAGTCTTGAGGCCTGGGAGAGCGGCGAGTCCCAAGTGCGTCCAGACATGACCGATAGCGTTGGAAAGCGCCTCAACGTCGTCCATCTTGCGATTCAGGGTTCCGGAGTATGGAAGTCCCGCGGAGAAAACTTCCTGAATACTTTGCGTGGCTGGACCTTGGAGAGATGGGTGAGCACCGACCTCAAGTGCCAAGTCAAAGGGACCTGAAGCCACCACAGCATTGCCCACAGCTTGGCTGAACATTACAGGGTTGACAAGATTATCAACCCAGTATTGTCCGGCAATGTGTTGGGTCGACTCCATAGGAACCGCACTTGGAGTCACACTGGAGTACCAAGCAGGGCGCTTGTCTCCTGATGGGGCTTTTATGGCGAGGACGGCACACTTCTGAAGTCTTTCCAAGTAGGGCCCGGCCACAGGACGCATGTGATGGGAGTGATAAGCCTTGTTGACTCGGAGTTGGCGGGCGAATTTCTTCTCCTCATCAAAAGCGGCCTTTGCCTGTTCAATGGCTTCGACGTCTCCAGATAGGGTCACACTGGACGGGGAATTGCTAGCCGCAACACAGATGCGACCTTCAAGATCGGGGAGCTCGCAGAACTCAAGAGCATCTTCGTACGAAGTTCCAACCGCCAACATGGCACCGTTCTCCTGGTTAGATCCGACAGCCAACTTACTGAGAAGACCTCGGTAATATGCAACCCGGATAGCGTCAGTGGCCGATAGAAAGCCGGATGCATATGCTGCTGCGATCTCACCAGAGGAATGGCCGACCACAGCGGAGAAGTAAACACCCGCCTTTTGCAACAAGTCAACCAGAACAATCTGAATAGCCGTGCACAGGGGCTGCGCAAGTTCGGCTTCATCGGTGCGTGAGTCCTGTGCATCGGCGAGCAGCTCTTGAGCCAGTGACCATGTTGGACGGTCCTCAACTGGAAGGGTATCTAGGGATGCCTCGAGCTCCTTGATGATCTGGCGGACATGGGCGGACGTCCGGAGGAGATTGCGTGCCATGCAAGGCCATTGTGCTCCCTGGCCAGTAAACACACCCAGGATGCGTCCAGTGCCCTTGTTGGCTAACGCTCGTGTCGCGAGGCCGGAGTTGTTCTGATCTTCATACTGCTTCAGCTTCTCTCCAATTCGCGTGATGAGCTGGTCCACACCGTTGGCGAGGATGACGGTACGGAATGGAAGGGCTGAACGATGGTGCTGCAAGGAAAAAGCGAGGTTGCGGAGGTCGACGTCTTTCTCGGCTTTCAAGTAGTCGCGGTACGTCGTCAGGACGGCAGCCAATGAGCGTTCAGTGGTTGCTGAGAAAGCAAAAGGCGTGAAGATCACGGGGTTCTTCACCAACGTCAACCTCTGCTCGGGCTGGTTGTAGCTCTCAAGAATCGCATGGCCGTTGGAGCCACCAAAACCTGAGGAAGAGAGTTAGAAATCGGCCTTTCATCTATTTCAACTGGACCTTCTTGGAACATGCAAGGCTTACCGAAACTGTTGACACTCGCGCGTCGGGGACCGCCACCCGGAACCGTTGGCCAGGCAGTCAACGACAGTGGGAGTTTGAGGTGCTTGGTGAAAGGCGCAACCGTCGGACTCAAGGTCTTAAAGAGCAAGTTTGGGGGGATATACCCATTCTGCAGGGCAAGAGATGCCTTGAGGATACCTGCGATACCCGCTGTGCCTTCGGTATGGCCAATGACTGTTTTGATGGACCCAACGTACAGCATCTCACTGTCCTCGGCCTTGCTGTCTGGCCCATAGAAAGCTGATTGAATGGCTTCAGCTTCCTTAGGGTCACCAGCGGGAGTTCCGGTGCCGTGAGCCTCGAAAAACTGTGGTCGATCTGAGGCAATGTTGAGATCGAGGCCAGCACGAGCATATGTTTGGCGAATCAAGTCTGCCTGAGCCTTCTCGCTGGGCATGGTGAGACCCTTGGAACGGCCGTCCTGGTTGACGCACACTTCACGAATAAGGCACTCAATTGGATCGCCGTCGCGTAGTGCGTCGCTCAAGGTTTTGAGCACCACAACTCCAACACCTTCACCTCTGGCATATCCATTGGCGCTGGCGTCCCACATCTTACTATGGCCATCTGCAGACACCATGCTGAGATTGCTTAGAACCACGAAATTTTCTATCGACACAATCAGAGTTATATTTCATAAGAACTTGAGTGAAGAAAACTTACCAGGCCCCAGGATAAGACTCACACCTGATGCGATAGCGGTAGTACAGTCTCCATTCCTAAGTGCTTGAGCACCCAGGTAGATCGCCATCATACTGGAGGAGCAGGCCGTGTCAATTGTCATTGACGGGCCGTTCCAGTCGAAGAAATAGGAAACACGGTTAGAGTGCATATTACGGGCTATACCTGTTCCGACGTATGTGGGCATGCACTCAAGATCTTTTTGAACAACATCGGCGTAATCGCAGCCCATCATACCGACGTACACGGCAGTCTGCGATCCTTGAAGTTCTTCGATCGTTTTGCCTGCCTTCTCCAAACTCTCGTACACACCCTCAAGCAGAAGGCGTTGCTGAGGGTCCATGGACTCGGCCTCACCTGGCTGGATATTGAAAAACTGTGGGTCGAAGTCTTGGATGCCCTCGGAAAGGAAGTAGGCTTTCTTGGTTTTCGTGGTGCCGTGGAAATTGCCGCCATCACGATAGAAACCTTTCCAGTTGAAACGGTCCTGTGGAATTTCACCAACAAGATTCTGAGGCCGGGAGAGGACATCCCAAAGGCGAGAGGGCGAGGAAGCTCCGCCGGGAAAGCGACAGGAACTGCCGATGATAGCAATAGGCTCAGAGGGGGCTGGCATTGTGGATAATTAAAAGGTGATATAATTAAGGGGTGATATAATTAAGGGGTGAAAAAAATTGGTGTCTGAAAGGGCGCAAAGAGCGAAAAAGTTTGCCTCTGGTGTCTGGCTATTCAACTTCCGTAGCCGCTGTTGCAGTCATGGAGTATATATCTGTATTAAAGAAGGGACGTTGGCTTGCATACAGCCGTGAACTTCCCGGCGAAGGACCAATGTCGCCGTCGGCTTGGAAGCTGCCCGGCTCTATTCGAGACACGCATGTCTCCGATCTGAAGGATTGCATCTTTCCAGGCATGTTTCCATCACACGTGGGCCGGCAGAGTAGGCTAGGCTAGACAACGTATCTTAAGGTATGTTATCAACATCTAGATTGGAAATGTCATTTGTTTGCTCACTATCAAGATCCTTCGTTCGAATCGGAACCAAGCCCGTTTAAGGCAAAAATACGCCGTGTATTCGTTTAAAGCCGAAATACTAATTTATTCTGGTGCTTATGCTAATCAGATGCGATATACAAGCTTCTCGCCCGAAATTGACCCTGCCTTAAGGATTTCAAAGCCCTCCACTACAGCTGGAATACCCCCATCCTTCACCGCTGCCGGATGAGGTTTAAGTCTACCATCATTAATTAGGTCCTGCGCACGATGATAGATCTCTTGACCAAACTGGCACAGTTCTGGGTCCTCTGCACGTGCGTAGGGCTCCTCCCACCCCACCTTCTTTCCAAATAAGGAGGGCTGGAAGATCCAATCGGCTTTGATGGTGGGCCTGCTCTTCATGACCGTTACGGAGGGTGGTTCCAGAGCGACGTACGTGCCACCGAGCCTCCCAATTACCTCATAGCAGAGTGTCATAGAGTCGAGTGTCGAGATACAGTCGACTACGTAGCTCAAACCATTCCGGGTGTGTTTCTTGATGTCCTGGGCGCACTCGTCAGAATGATAGTTGAACACTTCTTCGGCTCCACGAGACCGAACTAGATCGAAATTGGCTGGCGAACAGGTGGTGATGACCTTGAGACCGCAACTGTGAACGTGTTAGCATTTATCTACCGAGCTGGGTTGTTAGGGTTATACATCCAGTACCTTTTTAGCATTTGTATTGCCAGGGTACCTGAGGCCGAGCTGCCACCAGACACCAGGACGACGAAAGGCTTTGGCCGCGGGTTCTCAAGAAAAAACTGGGCGATGCCTAACGACTTCAAAACGAGCCCAATTGCACCAACACCAGTCGCCATAGTCGATGCCTCCTCAAAGCTCATGGAGTCGGGGATTTTCATGGTGGTATGCGTGGTAGCCTTGACGTACTCCGCAAATGCCCCCGTCGCGGGATCCAGTGGATTCATTCCGTGAGCTGAGCCACAGACCCTATCTCCTAAGACAAACCGTTCCCTCGCTTGCGCACCAATGTCAACCACGATTCCTGCAAAGTCAAACCCAACCAGGGTACCGGGGTAGTTGAAGGCCTCCACTGATTTCACATCCACCGGATTCAAAGCGACTGCTTTGGTCTGGATGAGGACCTCGTTGTCGTTGATATTGGGGACCGCGGTGGAAGAAGATATCACGACGCCTCCCACCCCGTCAGCCAACAAGGCGACCTGCTCACTCGGCAATTTTGACATTTTTTGGTAAAAGATTGAAAAATTCAGAGTTGAATCAGTTCCCCGACACAGTTATCGACAAAAAGAGAGATGCATCTGCACAATGCTGGAAACCAATTGTAAATGTCTGAAAATCGTGTCAAAGGCTCGTAAATATAGGAAGTCCTCCGTACGCCGTCTTTGCTTTTCCAGAATAGGTCTAGCAGGCTTCGACAACCTTCTATGCAGAGAACCCTTACGGAATAGGTGCCGGCAACTTGGTACGGCCCGGGGACTTTTGCCGCCATAGGGAGTATATGCCCGAATAATTTGCGTGGCTTTCGGCTTTGTGTTTAAACAAGTCCTTTTGGCCCCCGTTGTGAGGGGTTGTTTCTGGCATGTTTGCTTCCCCGGCACCAACATGCTTGTGGATGCCAAAGATAGCCTCCTAGATCTAGACTTTGCACCGCGACATCTTTTCTACCTTCATTCGCAATGGCGCTGCCAGGACGACGACGAAATGGGAATATGTATAAATTAGAGACGGAATGAACTAGACACATCTGTATACAAAAGAAAAGTGATTGTATATACTTGTAAAGAAAACAGTCATATGACCAAGAGAGAACCTTATATAATAAGGGAAAAATCACCCGTCTTAATATATCTCGAACCCATCGTATTCTCTATCGTCGAGAAACAAACGGCTTAGCAGCACTAGGAAGCTCTAGCACCTGCATAGCAATCACATACGGATATCCCGCGGCCTTGCTATCGCCCATCCATTGCAATCCAGACATCAACGTTACTACTATAACGTCGACTAATTTGAAAATTGATAAATTTGCTCAGCGACGTTCATCAGCGGTCACAACGACCTCCCCACAGAATATCTGATTGGAAGACATCAGGCGTGACCTGCTAGGCTAGCCACCTCTTTCTGGGTCTTCAAAAAAGACTCATCCCCCGGTACCTTGATATCGGTTTCAAGATCCAAAGATAAACCTTGGGCAAACTGCTTCTGAATCAATCGTAACAAAAAGGCCACGCTCTCATCATGATAGAAGGCCCCATTGTAAGCTAACTGAATATGGAGTTGACCTCTGAAGGTCCATACATCGGCCGTGATGTCAGGAGTTAGCATATCAGGGGCTAGCCATAGGTCTTGAACTTCTAGCTGTGTTCGTCCCCCTGATTTCTGCTCGGAGGATCGATAGACGGTGTTTAGATGTTTGTCAAGAATGCCCAAGCTGGTTAGCTGTAGCTGACCGGAGATTCGCATTTGAGGTGGTCGTGGAGCTGAGAGCGTTGCGATTAGATCCGAGGAAAAGAGAGGGCTTACGGCTCGCACCAAGTCATCCTTTTTGCAATCGATGAATACCTTCTTAGTCTGTCTTGCCGTTTCGACAAAGGAGGTAACGGGAATCACCACCGGCATGGCGAAGACGTGAGGGCCAACAAGCTTATGAGGAGGATGCAGGTTGGGGTTGATATGTTCGCGCGCATCGAAGATTGCTAGCGTAGAGTGTGTCTTATTACGGACCTGGCTGTGGACACGTGTTGCATGCGACAGAGCAGCTTGTGCAGCTGCGGTAACGGAGAAGCCCAGTTCCTTTGATTTCGCTGCGATGCGTGCGGTCTCCTCAGCGGTGAAGGTAAGCCATTGGAGTTTGGTATATTTTGCCGGTAGTGCACCTGCATTATCCGGACGTAAACTAACGGTTGGGAACTGTGAGCGAAATTTGACAAGGGCGGCGTCCCATGCTACCTTTTGTGAGATGGTGTATTCAGGGATCTCAGCAGTTTTGCTGATAGGGGGTACGAGATGAGAACCCTCCTTTCCGAAATTGGGTCGGGCAGGAGGTGCGACAAGGAGTTGCATCATCTGGTTAAAGAATGTCACCATGCCTATGCCATCGACGTGTGTGTGTGGCGCTTGAAGAACAATCTCCTGTGTCCGAGGGAGGACATGTAGAACGGCTCGCTGGCTGGGGTTTGTCTTAAAAGGATAAAGTTGACGGGCACTTTCTTCAACATCATGAATATGGAATGTTTCCTGCAGCCATGAGCCGAGTTCTTGCTCATCGGCAACATTATAGATCCAACGGTCGTTTTGAACGAAAGCTGAATAATTGGGGTGTTCGTAGCGTAAAGCCGTCCAAACATTTTTTATATCTTTTGAGAAGTCTTCACGCTCCGTCTTAATCTTTATTGCCGCTGTTGTATACCAGTTCTGCCTAGGCTGTCCAGAACCACGATCTGCCATAAAGAGGTAATAGGTTTCCAAATGATCAATTGCTCGCTCATAGGTGGTTGGACCCGTCTGAGTCCATTCTCGTGAGATTTTTTGGTCGACCTGCCGATGGATAAATGACAATGCAAACCCACGGGATTGAAAGGGAATGCGTTTGGAGGTAGACCTACGAGATCTACGATAAGCCTGCGCCAAAGGCGTTAACTTTCGCCAAACCTCCATGTGTGTTGTTGACGAAAAGACAAGGAAGTATTCGAGGAACACGACTATTAGTTTGTGTATGTGTATAAAGTTATAGAATACATTATTTGACTCGGCGACATCTCTTATATCGCTCGGGCTGACGTCAAAATAAAGTACTACTTACCAGGTACTTGTCTACCTATACTCGATTAGTCGTTAGTTACCGAAAGTTAATATGGCCGAAGGGCCCACTCTGAGAAGTTACAGACCGAACAGAAAGACCAAACAAGACTGAATAGGCCGAACAGGTAGCGCTGGCACGTATTTCTCCCTTCTTGGAACAAGCTATACTTTCTGAGCAAGGAAATCAATCTGTAACGAAATGGAGATAACAAATACTTATAAGGCACGAAAGAATAGACTGACAAATACTTAATGTGACTCAGCAAAAGAAAGCAAGATTCCACCAGCGGCTGTGTTTCAAATTGGCATCAGGCGATCGTTTTGAAAGTTTCTTACAGATAAAGAGAGAGTGGATAACTAAGGAATTTATGCAAGCATGACGATGGCAGAGACAACGCCAGCCTGGGTACGGGATGCCATACCAGTGTAGATTGGTGGGTGGACTGGAGTTGTGCCGTTAGTTGACACGCCGGTTGGGGCAGGCACGCCCGGAGCTATATTTGGTGGGGTGGGGTAAGAGGGCTGAGTGCTGGTTGGGTAGGGGTTGCTGGGGTCGACTCAGGGGGTGCTACGGTGTTGGTCGAGCTTGGGACTAGGTCGCCGGTGGTGGCTAGAGGAGCTGGGTAGCTGGAAGACTCCTTTTGGTGTGGAAATTTTTATCCAAACCAGCCCAGATCCGTTAGTCAATAGGAATGACTGTATTCCCTGCTACTATAACCTCTTTGGTGCCTTCGGTGTACTCGATAAACTGCTCTGTTTATTTCAGACATGTATAATAGAGTCTGTGTTATATATGAACTTGTTTTTGTGGGTATTTGGTCCGTTTTCGACAGAGAAGGCTGATGCGGCCACCAGTTTGAGGTGATTTGGGTGGACCAGGCGAATTTGGGGTGTTCGAAACACTGGTGTTCTTTTGAGGAAGAGGCTAGTAAAATACTTAATATAAAGCCTGATTAATTACATATCCTATTTAAAAATTTATCAACTTTCAATATTAATCCTAACCTTGACCACATGAACCCTATTTTTCCATTACAGTGCCCTGGGACCCAGGTACACTTGAAGGCTTGTCTATTGTCGATGCTTCCTTCTCGGCTAGAGCTTTAGTCCCCTCTTCGTTTGACACGTTGGCTCCAGCGTTAAGAGGCTTCTGTCCCATACCAAAGGCAACCAGAAAGGAACAGCCGGCAAGGACAACTGAGAGGTACTAAAGTCGCAGTACATTAGCATTGATGTCGAATCCGTGATATAGAGGTCTAACGACTTACCCATGTTCTAACCAATGCATTGTTATAAGCAAGTGCGATTTCGGCCAGATAATGAGCTAGACCCATCGCCTTAAGTGTAGCAGGAAGACCCCCTGAATGAACGACTGCGAGCGGATTAGGAATACCGCGCTCGGTGATCAAGTGAACAAGCTGGTTGCTAAATATCGTTTGTGAAGAAGCAATAAAGACCGAACAGCCGAAAAACTGGCTTAACAGAATCAAGCTTGTGCCCTTCGGGATCATATGCGGAGGAAGGATTCCCTGGGTAACAATGAGTGGCTATATAGTAGTTAGCTGCTGCTGTCTCGGTATGGAAATTGACTCCTTACTATTTGAAGAGAGAGGCCTCTACCAGCTCCAAGGAGAATTTGATATCCAACCCACTTTGCAGTAGATGTATCTGGTTGGAATGTTGTAATTAAGCCAGCACCAATTGTTGTTAGAGCGCATCCAATGAGGCAAACAGGTGTTGCATATCTACCCTTCGTAGCAACTAGAAGAGACTGTTAATAAATGATATCCCCTATATCGGTGACTGAGAATGGTACATCACGTACCCATAGATCCTGATATAACTGTAAAAAGCGTTTGTGAGACAATAGTTGGCAACTGATATACACCACTTAGCAGTGGTGTTATGCCCTTGACTGTTTGGAACCATATTGGCAGGTAGTAAGTTAGGCACACGACTCCGCTGAATTGGAACATGATTGTGAGAGCGCTGAATGCGACGGCAGATTGCTTGAGCAATGACAATGGAATCATTGCGTCCTCATGGGCGAAATGTTCCCAGGTAAGAAATACTCCACAGCAAGCAACGGTGCCGCAGAAGAGACCGATGATTGTTGCTGAATTCCAGGCGTATGTTGTCCCACCTAATGAGAGCGCAAGTAGGAGCATAACACATGTTGGAGCAAATAAAACAAAGCCGACTAAGTCGATTGCTTGTACGAGCCCTAAAATGGTTTTTGGCGTAGCATCTTTGGCCTTCCGGATGGGAAAGCGTATGAAAAGCATAGCCAGTACTGTGATGACACCGGGTGGAAGGTTAATATAAAAACCTAAGTAATGTCGGGTTCATTAGAGGAGTCCTTGGAATAGCGATAATGATTTAGGGGCTGAAGCAGGGGGAAAAACTTACACCATCGCCACGAAGCTCCTGATGTTAGTGCACCGCCGATAACAGGCCCAAATACGGTTCCAGATGCAGCCACGGCAGTTCCGACACTAATTTGCACTTAGAAGGTCGGTATAAGCGCAATATTAGATATAAATAACAGGACCGAAGACTTACCTGCTCGGGCTTTCGGATTGACAGCGCCTGTCAACATAGTCATAGAGCCATTGTAAAGGCCCGCAGCACCCATACCAGCAATAGCGCGCCCAATAATCAACATAATGGAAGAAGTTGCAGCTCCAGAGAGAGCTGAGCCGAGCTCGAAGAGAATAAGAAAGACGATAAAGACGATCTAAGCATCGTAAGCACAGATAATGTAAATATACTATGGGAAGTCTACCTTTATGTTAAAAACGGTGTTAAGAGTTCCAGCCATTGGAAGCATCGCACAGCTGAACAAAAAAAGTCCATTAACCATTGCCAAAAATAGGCCAAAGAAGCGTTCCACCTACTTCGCTATCGAATATGCAGTGCTGTACCATCCTATGTCAAGGGTGGAGTGGAATTCACTGACAATTTCGGGAACGGCCTATATGCTTACTATTAGTCTCAACACCGGGCATCATGCAACCGTGGAAACATACAGTTGCGACAATTGTGGCATCTAAAGTAGATAAAAAGACCGGTATCACTAGTGAAATAGAGGCGAGCCACAGGCTGACACCTGTGAGATATTTGTCATTTCCATTGTCGATGTCATCAATCGGTTGATCTTCTGCCGGGGCCGCCAGTCGGGCATCGTTGTCTGAAGGCTTTGGTGTCATGATGGGTTGGCCGTGGTTCTCGGCTTCCTTGGGTTTACAAGAAACCAAGAACAACACCTCCTTGAGCCATCTCTTATATGCGAACCAACATCCATTACTTTTGAGCAGACCAGGGAGCAACTAGGCCGATTCGGAGCTGAAGTGGACTCCCGCGCAGTGCCTGATAATCAAAACGGCTTGCATGACGCCGTAGCAGCGACATACGGCCGACGGAGTGAAATTATGCAACACCGGGAGAACATTAGGCCATTCAATAACAGTCGTTATTATATGAAGTACCTATCAGATACTTCCACTTTGGAGTTTCCATTGGTGGATATTATGCAGGGTTTACACTGCGTCAGTACCACAGAAGTCGCAAGAACAAGCAAGAAATCCCCCTAGCTCCTGTATGCGAGTTATTTCTCCATCAGAGTAAACGCGTAAACGCCTTCTGTGATAACCCATGCGGTTCCGAAGTAAAACCACCTAGGTGTGGATAACGAAAGAGGGCAGGACAGGTACTAGGTTGGCCGCCACTCCGGGTCGGAGCGACAAGCCTAAATTGTCACTGAGCCAAGCCCCCCCCAATATAACCACTAGGTGTTTTACACAAAGTCAAATCGTTTTTAACAGTCCATACTCCGTATGTATTTGAAGATGTTTTCTATATACTAAAAATACCAGTAAATTGTCGGGCCCGAGAGTGCGGCCACTCTTCACCGTTTGCAAGCGAACCCGTTCTCGGCGATATAAAGCGGGAATCCCATTAGCCCCTGCCAGAAAGGTGGGATATGCGCAGCTATCGCCCGGACTTCACGAGCACCAGTGTTTCCAACAAACCAATAGGTATCCAAAAACACAATGAGCGCAAAAAAGTGAGCGAGGATAACAAGTGCTCGCGGGCGTCCTTCTGCCACAAGGTCGATGAAGCGAGGATCCACGATAAAGGGGAAAACAACGATTCGCCGTCTGATAGGGCCGGGTGGGCCATCGTAGTTATGTAGTATCCGAAATATACTGCCGAGATAGCCCATTGCTCCCTCATATGCAGCCCGGACGCCATCATCCCAGAAAACTGGGTCATCTTTGTCATCTGGATCCTTGCTTCGAGCGGTCAGGATATGCTCAAAGCTTGGTCGAGGATCAGGTACCTCATACTGGGCGTTATCCTCGTCCAATGCTAGAGGAGTTGATCTAAGTAATTTGGCTGTGCAAGAGGACGGATCGTCCCCTACGGCTTCCATTGCGGTCTGAAAGAACTTTGCGTTGCTGCTGGTTATGCGAAGCCACTCAATGGGAGGTGCGTAAGGTTCCAAAATGCGTTCGGAGAGCATTACAAATGCTACGAGGCGCATAAGGTGAGTAGTTAACATGATCACATCGGCTTTCTCCTTTGAGAAGGAAATGAGCTCCATATGGTGGTGCTTGAATGCAAGTTGCAGGTAACGCTGGTGATGCTCGAGCATAGTGGATTCCGAGGCATCTGCTGGTACTTTCTTTGCCTGCTGGAGGCTGGTTACTGCGTAAATGCTGTAGAGAAGTCCATCTGACTGGAAGGCCATGCGTGGAAGTGCATCGACAAAGACTTCATAAGAGCTCTCAGGGTCGAAAGCAATTGTCGGGCCAGTTTCGGTAATATAAAGATGCATCAACCTGAGCTCTAGAATCCGACGGTCTCTCGTCTCTGCTGGCTCGACCTCCATCGATTCCTCTTTAGGAAGCCGATCATAGATGCAGGGTTCCTCGACACGTTCGCAATTGCGGCATACTGGCTTAGTTTCATCACACTTTCCATTCATTAGTACCTGACTGCTGGATACCCTGTACTGCCAGGGTCAATTGGCTCAAGTACTCCTTATATATATCCTGCTGCACTCACCTTGACTCTCTTCGTTCGGCATCTTTGGCAACCGACCCGGGATTTCCTATGGAACTGTTTCACTCCTTTCCGACGCCCGGCATTTGCCTGCTGCCGCTGCTGCTCGTTTATAAACGATATTATTGGGGGTACCTCTGTCATGCTGAATGCATCTGCCTGCTCATGTCGACAAATGACAATCCTTCGTTCCGCATTTGGTTAAACGAGCTGAAGGATTCATTACTAATGGAAACGCGGCTCTGCGGAGAGTCTAGCCGTAACAGGTTAGTTTGTTAAGTCTCGGACTTTCATGTCATCCGGGATAAGGTTAAAGTTTCTTTATAATCAATCGAACTCTAAAAACTGGAGCTCGCAAAGCCTTCTTCTTTGGGACACAACTAGTGAAATGTATGCCTACGTCATCCATCCTCCTACATTCTCTTGAATCCTCCCGCTGTTCATACAATAACCGATGGAGACAGGGCTGAGCTACAACTGCCTCTACCAGAGTACAGTTATCTCGCAAGAGTTACCATTTCAAGACGCCGAAACCATGACGCGTATCTCAACCAAGACGTCTATAAAATGGCGTGAACCTCTCCAGATATATGCCATCTCTTGAAAGAGCATCACTCAGAAACAAAGCAGTCCGAGATTTATATATCCAACTATTTACCTTTGCCGCAATGAAGTTGTCGCAGCTTGCAGCTATAATTGGCGCGGTTGGCCTATGCAGGGTAAGAAGTATCCCGAGGGCGTGAGGTACCTGTTTGTTTCTTGCTTTTAATACGTTTATAAATAGGCTTCTCCGGTGCGCATTGAGAAGAGGGACAACTCATCAATCTCATCAATTCAACTTAGCTCGGACAAATCATTTCACTACGAACTGCTGCGTGATCTGTCCATCGCAGCATATGATGGTTCCGATATCAATGAAATTCTCACAGCTGCTAGCGAAATCAAAGCAGGAGACTTCGAAAGTTATTATGCTACATTCAACAAACTTGCCACCCGCGTTCATGAGCAGGCTAAGGGTATCAACCTTACAAACCATCCAATATCTGCTCGCCGCGCCTTCTTCAAAGCCGCAACTTATTACCGTTCCGCAGACTTCTTTTTGCGGGGCAACTGGACCGATCCCCGGGTTTATTCTCTTTGGGACAAGCACTTAGAGGCGTTCAATACAGCAATATCTCTTCTCCCTGTTCCAGGGCAGAGGGTAACCCTGCATGCCAAGGGTAATGAGCCCAACTCGAACTTTTCGATACCCATTATATTTTACGGTTGTGGTTTACCGGGGCCCCGACCGACAATCATCATGGGGAATGGCTATGACGGTGCGCAAGAGGAAATGTATCATGTGCTAGGCAAGGCGGCCCTTGATCGAGGAATCAACGTTATCACTTACGAAGGACCTGGGCAACCCACAGTACGTCGAGAACAGAAACTCGGCTTCATCCCTGAGTGGGAGAAGGTTGTTACCCCAGTTGTCGACTATGCCCTCACTCGTCCTGAGGTCCGAGTCAACGCTATTGGTCTCATGGGCCTTTCATTCGGCGGTTTCCTTGCACCTCGCGCTGCGGCAGTCGAGAAACGTATCGCTGCTGTTATTGCACTAGATGGCATTTACGATTTTGGCGAATCGAATCTACGACCTTTCCCCCCACAACTAAAGGAGCTCTTTAAATCCGGATCTGAAAACGCCAAACGTTTTGATTCTATCGTGGAAGCGGGCCTGGCGGAACCTTCGGCCGACACGTTCACTCGCTGGGCTGTTCAACAAGGCTTGTGGTCGTTTAACACCGAGTCACCATTTGAGTGGCTCTCACAGACCCAAAAATACAACATGGACGGCTTTGTGCAGAATATTACAATGCCCGTTTTTGTGGCTGATGCACAGAATGATCAATTTTTCCCTGGCCAAGCAAAAGCACTAGCCGATAAGATTGGTAGCAAATTTGCTACTTATCATGAATTCAGGGCCGTTGATGGGGCGGGAGAGCATTGTTCTGTTGGTGCAAGTGTTCTGGCGAACCAGATACTCCTGGACTGGTTTGAGGATATTGTGCGGCATTGAGATGAACGATGAATGAGGGTAGTTATCGGCAGGAATTTTGCTTCCTTGTAATGTATAGAGCGTTTCAATAATAGGTTGCTTGAACTAGAAGACTTATAGAGGGGACGGTGTAACATAGTTTTGATTTATACTTAGTTAATGCCACTGAATATAATGAGAGTTTTTCATGTCAGATCTGTTGGGAGCCCCGGCGCTAATAATGTAACCACTTGATCATTGAACTTAGGAGTGGTCACTGTTCACGAGCAAAAAAACACACCATATCATATTTTTCTGCTCTTAGATAGAGGTGTTTAGGAACGGTTACTTGGTTATATTCACGTCCAATCTTGAAAGTTCGCGGAGACATCATCGCCTATAGTACCTTAGGTGGGCTGTTATGACCACCATGGGGTTCCCCTTAGTACGAGCATGCATATTTGATATGGATGGGCTTCTTATTAACTCAGAAGATATGATAACATCGGCTATAAATCACCTCCTCGAAAAGCACGGAAGACCACCTTTCAATAGATCCATTCGAGCAAAAACTAATGGGTGTTTCCGGCTCAACAAACAGTGACTTGTTCCACGATTGGGCCAAACTGCCCATTTCTCGGGAGCAATGGGCTTATGAATCAGCCCAACAAATGCGATTGAATTTCTCAAATTGCATGCCAATGCCTGGTGCAGAACAGCTCGTGCATAACCTTAGCCGTGCGCATAGCGTCGCATCCGGTCAAAAGATAGAGCTCGCACTAGCAACTGGTGCGAAGAGCCAAAGCTACGAAGTGAAGACCTCAAGGCCAGAAACAAAGCGATTAATCGACTTCTTTCTGCCTGAACGGCGAATCTTGGGAGATGATCCCCGGATACCAAAAGGCTGCGGGAAGCCGGCACCTGATATATACTTGGTTGCACTACAGGTGCTGAACTCGGCAGTTAGGCCCGACGAAAAGGCCATCTTACCTAGCGAGTGTCTGGTCTTTGAGGATAGTTTGGCTGGATTTGAGGCAGCAAGACGAGCTGGAATGAAGGTTGTTTGGGTTCCACACCCAGATCTACTAGCCGAGTATCAAGAACGGCAAACAGAAGCCCTTGCCAATAAGACTGGAGTTCTACAGACAGGACACGAATGGCGGTTCGAACGGATGGACAATGACTGGGAAGAAAAAATTTTGACCTTGGAAAATTTTGATTATGAAGGATATGGCATTGACGTGTCAGTTTGAAAATTCACAATCCTGTTTAGTATGCGTTTTCCTCTGCATACAATTCTCTAGTTGCTTTAAATAAAGCATTAGTGCCGGTCCGTGCTATATCCGTTTGTCGGGGAAGTTAAAATTTCACCTGACCGTCCTTCATGTTGAATATATTTTTAGCATGTTCAATAACTTAAATGCTACTCTCTGTCAAATTCTTAGCAGGGAGTCTGACAGCAGAAATTGATTCCATTCGTTTGACAGCCATCAAGATCGTGTTCCGTTCCACCAGATGCAAGTTCGATATCAACATATTGACTGCCAAGGTTGGCTACTAAAGGGCATTGCCAAAAGAAAAAAAAACGTCGCATTTACTAACTATCCCCGGATGGAATGCAACTAGAAAGTGGCACATCGTATATAGCAAATAGCTATTAGTGGTGAACTGGACAAGAGCGTCAGTTGTGCAACAAAAAGGCCGACATTGATGCCTTCGGGATTCCGGCATCGATATTAGGGCATGGGAGCGGTGACCTCCGCTCCTACACGATATAGTTACACTTTTCGAGAAGAAATTAAAGCTTGGTAGCTGTTCGCGTGGTGGCTGCAAGGGGCTAAGGGCAGTGCCAGCTGTCGGCGAGACGGTCTGGGCTTTTGATTGGCATGCGCTCAGTCACACGACTCCTGAGCTATTGACAAATAGACGGCTACTGTTGCACAAAGGACAGTTGTCCAGAACCACGATACGAATAGCTCTTTTCGTGGCAAACAAAGGTCTGTCCAATTGCTGACTGCAGGCGGTGAATCTGCGAGATAGATGTTTCAGCATCAACAGCGAGATAAGGTTCGCTTCCCGTCATTCCTCAGGGCATCCCGAGAGCCACAGTGTGCGCCTGTGCGGAAGAGACGAGGAGGGCAGGGCGTTTGTCGGTAGGACCAATCATCCCAGCTAAGGGGGTTTCGTCTGCTTGCTCCCGCATCCTTCCCGCCAGCCAAACAGCAGCCCCAGAGTCAACTTGTCCGCATCCATCCCGCCCGTAGTACGGTCACCGTCACAAGCTTTTTTCTTTTCTCCAGCTCATCACCTTCTTCGTCTCCCTTATCTCTCGTCTGTTTCGTCGTTCATCGCATTGAGTCGTTGTTGTTGATGAACAAAAAAGAAAAGATGACGTCGAAGAGGCTGAAGTTGCTTCTTTTTCACTTTCGATGAGTCAGCAGACACGTGGGTCTTTGCCGAAGCCGGTTTTGTACTTTTTGTGGTTTGAGGCGCAATGATGGAAAGGTTTATATATCAAAAGACACCGTCGAGGCCGACCTGGGGAATCTCGCGACAGTAATTCATTGCAGGCCAGGCATTGCTAGTTTACGGTCTCTCCAACAACAGTCGGCAATGAATCTATACACCCATACACTAGAGAATGAAGTTTGCAAAGTAAGTCACACACCAAGTAGGGGTATGGTACTTGGCTGCAGGTTACTTTCATCATAGGAGTTGGCTGACGACCTCATCTATAGAGACCTTGAACGGGAACTGGTTCCTGAATGGCGAGCGAAGTATTTGAACTACAAGGCAAGTTGAAAGGCCCAAGCAATGCCACGCAATGCCGATCCCTAGCTGACCTGTAGGGCTGTCACGATCTATAGAGCGGGAAGAAGAAGGTCAAGGCCATCGCAAGAGCCCTTCGACATGTCGAACAGGCGTCGTGGACTCCCGGACGACGGCGGTTCAGCCAGATTAGCGCCACACGCCGTGATTCCGTCCAATTCCCGTTGACACCTAACGATATACCTGGATTCAGCAGTGTAACGCAGCGTCATGCAGGTAATTTGGCAAACCAGACAGCACCAGCACCAGAACGGCCACTGCTCCGAACTCCGGCATCCCGCTTCGACCAGACTGAGGGATATGGAAGCATTGTACCACCGAAACCAAGCCACACACAGTTTCTCCATCTCTAGTTCCCTCCTCACTCCAGCTTCCCGATCCCGCAATAGACCCGGATGACAACTACTTCACGCCTCGGAATGAATCATCTACACTATACGGTGATGGACATCTAACACCCTATACAAAGACCCAGAAAAAACCTCGCGCTGGACACAACACACAATCTGGGCGCGGATCATTGCGGAAACAAATCAGCGACCGACGACCTACAGTTGGCACACCCAGCCCAAGACCCTCATTTATTCACAGAATATTCTCATCCGTCCCAGAGTATGAGAACTCCAAAGCCCAGGCACCTGCACGAGAGCAGGCTCTTGCCGAGCTCAAAGCTAAGGAGACCGAGTTTTTTGCCTTTATGGACAAGGAGCTGTTGAAAATTGAAACATTTTACAAGTTGAAAGAGGATGAATCGACGAAAAGGCTCCAATTACTCAGGGGTCAGCTTCACGTCATGCGAGACTCACGACTCGAAGAAATAAGGATAAAGAGGAACAAGTCTAAATATGAAGCTGAAGGGGATATGAGTGCCATTAGAGGCCCTGCTGGCCAGACTGCTACCTCCTGGACTAGGCCGTTAGCCCGTGGCAGAGGCTCCCATATGGGGAAGACAACCAGAGCAATGACACAGTTGGCAACACCCAGCGGCCCAGAGCCTCAAGCAATGCCCGATGAGCAAAGAGATTATGTTACCCGCAAAGAATACCAAAGTGTACCTTATAGCTCTGCCAAAAGGAAACTAAAGCTTGCCCTTTTAGAATTCTATCGCGGCCTAGAATTGCTTAAATCATATGCTGATTTAAACAGAAAGGCCTTTCGAAAGATGAATAAAAAGTATGACAAGGTTTCATACGCTCGCCCTACAGGCAGATACATGACCGAAAAGGTCAATAAGGCATGGTTTGTGCAAAGCGATATTGTTGAAAACCACTTAGTTGCGGTTGAGGATTTGTATTCCCGCTATTTTGAACGAGGGAACCGCAAAGCTGCCACTCATAAATTGCGTGGCAAATCAGGGGTTTCAACAGATTTCTCCCCCAACTCGTTCCGAAGTGGACTACTACTAGCAGGGGGTTTTGTATTCGCTGTTCAGGGCCTTGCATATGCAATTGGACACTTGTTCAACGATGACATAGATGTAAAGACTGAAACGAGCTATCTTCTTCAGGTACGAGAATCCGACATTTTTGCTTTGATCGAAGGGTCTTCTAATATATTTCGTCTAGATATACGGTGGATATTTCCTTATTCTTGTCCATTTCTTTCTCTTTTGTCTGGACTGTAGGGTTTGGACTCTATCTAAAATCAACTATATTTTCGTTTTCGAGTATGATACCCGCCATGTTCTAGATTGGCGTCAACTTTCGGAGGTAGGCTTTCCAAGTAGTAGTATACTTCGGTGTTAATTACTCTGCTAACATGTGGTTAATTAGCTACCGTCCCTGTTCAGTCTTCTCCTGGGGCTCTGCATGTGGTTAAACTTCCGCTGGATAAATTCATTTTATATATACTGGCCTGTGGTCTTAATTGGATTAACCGTCGTTACCTTATTTCTACCTGCGCGAATTCTCTACTACCGAAGCAGGCTTTGGTGGGCATACTCACATGTAAGGTCTATCCTTCTCACTTCACAACTTTTAGCTGACAAAATTATAGTGGAGGCTGCTCCTCGCAGGTCTCTATCCTGTGGAATTTAGAGACTTCTTCCTAGGCGACATGTACTGTTCCCAGACTTATGCCATGGGGGTAAGTAAAGCAAATTCCCTCTAGATATAAAAAATATAGTCCAGCTGACCAGGTGGGCTCAGAACATCGCACTCTTCTTTTGTTTATATGCAAGTAGATGGGATAATCCGCCAATGTGCAATTCCTCACATTCCCGCGCACTTGGCTTCGTGACAACGGTTCCTTCAATATGGCGTGGGTTCCAATGCCTTCGTCGTTACTACGACACACGCAATGCATTTCCTCATCTCGTCAATTTTGGGAAATACTCTTTTTCTATACTTTACTACCTAACCCTCAGCTTATACCGTATCGACAAATCGGATACTTTACGTGGAATATTCATCACTTTTGCCTGCCTCAATGCCATATACGCATCGGTCTGGGACTTGGCAATGGATTGGAGTTTGTGCAATCCTTATTCGAAAAACCCATACTTACGAGATTACCTTGGTTTCCGACGTCGATGGGTATACTATATCGCCATGATAATCGACCCCATACTACGCTTCAACTGGATCTTATACGCCATCTTCATAAACGACATCCAACACTCAGCTGTTTTGAGTTTTGCCGTTGCACTCTCCGAAGTATGCCGTCGTGGAATGTGGACGATTTTCCGTGTTGAGAACGAACATTGCACGAACGTCGGCAGGTTCCGAGCTTCAAGAGATGTCCCACTTCCATATGACATATCAATGGCCGTGTCCGACGAGGAAGGAGCTTCTTCCATCCCCCCCGTCCCTACTTCATATACTGGACGGGGGTCAAAAAGCTCGCCTCCTCACGCCCTCGGGCGCATGCCAACAAGCGGAACCGCCGTATCGAGCGGCGCTGCTGCACATATGCCTGATCTTGAGAGCGGTGATGGAGCAGATGCATCCGCCGGTTCACTTCGACGTCGACACTATTCGAAGCGAGAAGAAAGTACTCCGCCGAGCGGAACGTTGGCTCGGGTAGGCACCATGTTAGCCACTGCACACGCTCAAGACTTCGAGAGAA